GACAAGGTAACTCATCTCTGAACCTCAAGCTTCCAAAAGTGATAATAATGCCTAATAGACCATCCTGAGGACCTGGTGTCACAATATAGCCTGGTACGTGACCAGAGCTTCAGAAATGTGTCAAACTCCAGGTATAGGTATTGCCCTAGGGCTACAGCCAGAGGGCCACAGCAGGGTTGACAGAGATAAAGCCAAGCCCTACCTATTGCAGATGCTGCAGTGGTGTGTTCGGGCTGGCTTGGGGTAAATGCACTTCTTACAGATGGAGACGGTTGCGATATCATTCCTGCCCTGTGCAAAGAGAGAAAAGCATCATGACAGCTGTGCAACACCAATTTTGCACTTCAAAAGATACCTCCCAGTGCTTTGGACTAGTCCCCAAAGCCTGCAGCTCACTCCCTCCATGTGCCCTGGCAAGAACCCACCTGGGGTGGGTATCCAGGTGGAGTGGTAATGGCCTGGTAGTAATGGAAGACGATGAGGATCAGATTCCAGTGACTATAGAAGAAATGCCAGCAGAGTCGTGGCACTGAGTAGGTTCGGAGGATGAGGGGCAAAACACACAGGTAGGCAATGGCCACAATGGAGCTGGTCAGCACGATCACCAGCACCACGAACACCTGGCAACACAGGGAGGTCAGGCAGATGCAGTGAGAGAGCTTGCCAAACACGCAGAGTAGATAAAGGAATTTCCCTGGAACGGGGCTGGTGTGGGTCCATCAGACACATGTCTCTGCTACCCCCAAACATCCCGTTTCCTGGTCCCTGGGCATCACTCACCACCCCACACCAGCGGATCACGTTGTCCACCAGCCAGTAGATAGGCTCAAAGGCAGCATCAACAGCAGTGTCGCTGCCCCCAAAGGAGTTGTAGAGCAGGGAACGCAGGCAGACCTTGCCATAGCGCCAGCGCTGTACCAGGCCCCGGAGCAGAGGTGGGCAGCGGCGCCTGTAGCCCAGGAGCAGAAGCAGGCGCAGGCAGAGGCGGGCAGGGCCCAGCAGCAGGCTCCGCTGGCCCCACATGGCTCCTAGGAGAGCACACCATTATGAGGGGCCAGCCTAGGTCCTGCCCCTCCCTCCCTCCCTACCCACCAGTGGGGAGGCCCAGAGCACCAGCTTAGAGGCTAAGACGTAAGACAGGCCTAGCTGGGCCAGTCACCTGGCTATGGGAGGTAGAAATGTCACTTCACTTCTCTTAAAGAATGTGTGGTGTCAGTGTCCCAACCAGATTACTAGGAGTAGAATCTAGAGGTTCTGAGTCTGACGAAATCCTACTTAACATTACACCAAGTGGGTGCACAGCAAATCCAAAGTGATGCACACCTAGAGTAAAGGGCCACAATAAAAATAAAAGAGGTAGGTGGCTCCAAGCCAAACAAGGTTCTTTGGAGCAGTCTGTGTAGACAGACCACTAGATGGCCAATAAGCACAAAGCCGCCCCACGTCTGTGGGCATGACCACTGTACAGAGGTTTCCAGAGGTCTTTTGTCTGCCCTGGGCCATGGACCTACATCCTAACAAGTGCTTTTCACTATGCAACGGCCAGTAGGGGAGTGAATGCACAGCATATGGATCTGCACCTACATCTTCCCTGGTGCTATCTGAGTCTTAGCAAAAGATACTCACCCTTCCTACTCCCTCTGGGCTGATGTTACAGGCCACCAGACACAACCTGATAGCATGGAGTCTGTCTCCTGTGAGGACATCTCAGCTACTTGCATGACATAAAGTGCTTTGTCTCTAATTCCAGTTCCAGGATACAGAAGCCAAGCCAACTTCAGATACACAGAGCAGAATATCACCACAGGCAGGAGACACTGGTAGTGGAAACGGGCCTTCATGCTAGTGGCTCATGAGACCATAGGGCCTGCCCTATCAGTGATGACTCTCCTCTGTGCTATTCTAGTTAAGACACTCAAGAACCTTTCTTGTGACTCCTTCCCTTGACCCCCAACTTCCCAACCAGCCTTCCAGGCTCTCTGGCCCTTTGCACAGATCCTCTGAAAGTGCCTTCATCTCCTCTATATGGTTTTTACCCCTCATCCCACAGCCATGGGAGGTCAGCCACCCAGGCAATGCCCAGAACAGAAAGCACAGATTCTTTTGATGATAAGTCACATTCTGCAGATTTAAGTCTTTACCAGAAAAGAAATTACCTAATTTTCTCCTATAGCTACTTTGTCCTGAGTAACTCCACTGACTTATTTAACAGGCAGCTCAAAACCCAGCAGAAACTGGAGGAGGCTGCTCCACTGTAGGGATGGTTTCAGTTCAGTAACTGGATCAAGGTACTCCTTGCACCCTGGCTCATCACCATGAAGGCTTTCAAAGAAAACACTTAATTATCTCCTTCAGTAATTCTGTAACAATCTAAGGCAAAAAGAAATCCAGCATACAAATGCCAGCAGAGAAAGAAGAAAGACAATTCAGTAGAGGCCTACTCTGCACCAGGATAAAGAAATCAGCCATTCCCGTCACCTCCTAAGAGCTAAGAGAACAAAGGGGCAATGTAGAAAAGAGAAAAAAGGAAAAGCTCAAACTTTCTAACTTCTCTGAGCTAGACTCCTATTGTCTAGAATCATGATTTGACGCAAAGTATAAATTTTCAAAATAGCATACAACCACAGTCAAATATAAGAGTGAGACACATTTTACCTTAAAACAAATCCAAGACAAAATAGTTCACACCACTGTTCATTCCCTTACTATGGCTAATGGAGAGTTTCCTATTTGCTAAAATACTTTTTACAGCAATGGCTTGCAAAAGAAATGTATTCCTCATCTATAATGAACAAGAATTATATGCCATCGCTCCTGTCTACAAAAATATCTTTCTTCTCAGATTCTCCATTTTTCATATTTTCAACACCTCTGGAACTCCTAAGCTCTATAGGAAATGCCTGCTTCAAAGACTAGACTTACCAATTCTCATCAGCCCCATAACTTGAATACTTAGTGTTCAATTCTGCCCTTAAGTAATTCTGTGATCTTGGACAAGTCAGTGAACCCAGTGGGACTCAATTTCCTTGTGTTCCCATTCAATGACAGGGTAGCATTAAATGCTAAAGTCCTTGCCAGCTTTAACTCTTTGTGATTTCTCTCTATACACTTGTTAAGGTATAAATGAAATGTTTATAAAGTGCTTAGCACAACAGAGAAGACAAATAGTGATTTTACAGCATCTTACTACACTGATGGACAGTGGCTGTGAAGGGGTATGTGGGGGGGACTTGATGAAGGGGGGAACCTAGTAAACATAATGTTCTTCATGTACTTGTAGATTAATGATACCAAAATAAATAAATAAATAAAAAGTACTTAGCACAATATTTGGCTCATGGGAGCACTCAATAAATACTTGAATGAATGATCTGGAGGTTTGCAGTACTGGAGAGGCTGGCCAGATGTCTATCTGTCCAACAAATAACAGTAAGGGCACTCCTGCCAATGTGTTAACACAAAAAGTGCTATCATTCTTTATGATCAATACAGAAATAGAAACAACTGTTAGAATCATAATAGTACCCAAGAGCTAGAAAGCATTTTAGAAAACAAGTCCAACCAGAAATCAACCCATGCATGTAAACAGAAAGCTTGTAGTTCAGAGATACAAATGAAATTTCAGGGCTACAGATGAGAGTTGAGTGAACAAAGTCTCAACCCAATCCTAACTCACCCACCACCACCACCACCACCTCCCTGCACCCTCATTTTAGCTAGTGCGGTTTGGGGGCTATGGGGATGCCATATGAGATATGTAGTCCATGGGGCCACAACTGAATATGCAAACTCTTCATCTCAGGAAACTGAAGTAAAGCAAAGCAAAACTCAAAAAATTGGGGGGTGGGGGTCTGGTGATCAGAATGAACAGGAGATGAAACAGCAAAGCACAGCTCCATTATCACCCCAAGCACTAGTCCTGAATAGTGATTCCTCAGCAGTAGAGTGAGTCCCTGGTGCCATCTGCCATCAGATAAGAGGGAATTGCAGGCCACAGCACTGCCCTCTTCCCCAGACTCTAAGCCACCGTTTCCCTAGAGGAAACCGGATTGGTGTGAGAGTGGGGGTTTGCACAGGAAAGGACATATTCCAAAGCCACCACAAGGCAGAGGAAACAGATCAAAGTCGTGGCAAATATCTGGACAACGATGCTGCTCTCAGGATATTTGCAGTCTCAAGCAAAAGATGTCAGTCATCCGTAAGAGCAGCATTTTATTCGTGTGCAGACTCCCCTTCCGGACTAACATGCTGGAAAGAGAGAAAGTTAAGGATGGGCCCACACGACTTGATCCGACTGCAAGATCAGAAGCTGCAGTCAAAAAGCTGGGGAAAGGTTTTATTTCTCAATGAGGATGGCGTGGTCAAAGTGAGATGGGCTGGGAGCCAAAAAACTTGGGCTCGGGCTTGGGCTTTACTTTGAACTATCTCCTAGACACTGGACAAGTCAAATCTTATCTCTGGATCCAAGTTTCCAAATATGTGAAATGGGCGAACTGGGTTGGTGGACGGCCTTCCAGCCTTAGGTGTTACGGCTGCTGGTAACTGAGAGTGCGCTCCGCGGGTTTGTGGAGGATTCCGCCGCACAAGGCAGGGTGAGGAGAGAGCAGGAACTCGGGCTTGCAGTTAAGGCCCCCAACAGGGCCCGACCCTAGAAGGGGCAGGACTGGAGAGCAAGGGCGACAGCTTTGCTCTTACCTGCCGCCTGCCGACTCCCCAATCAGTAATTCAAACCCCACAGCTTCTGCTGCCGCTCACTGCCACCCCCTCCAGCTCGGCACCCAGACCCGGATCGCCTCAGCCCGACCAACCATGGCCCGCCGCCCGCAGCGACAGGCTGCGGACACGGACCCACCGCCAGCCCATCCTGGTCCCAGGCGCAAGCGCAACCTCAGGAGCTTGGGGGCTCCGCCCCCGGACTGTCCCGGGGCAACCTGGGAAATGGAGTTTGCTCCAGGAGGCGCTCCAGGAGAACACGTGATATAAAGCACCAATTGGCGTGCTTTTTACTCTGGAACTGTTCCTGTATTTTGGCAAATGAGAAGTCGGCTTCCTTATCCTCCGGTTTAGGACAGTGGCAGTCATGGCGCCACCCGTGAGGTACTGCATCCCGGGTGAGTGAGCTGTGCCCATAGCCAATTCTGGATGGCACAGAGACAGGAGGGCTGGATGGCCAACAGCTTCTGGGTATCGTGGCTGATGCAGCGTTTTTTCCTGCAGGCGAACGCCTCTGTAATTTGGAGGAGGGCAGCCCTGGCAGCGGCACTTACATCCGGCACGGCTACATCTTTTCGTCGCTTGCTGGCTGCCTGATGAAGAGCAGCGAGAACGGCACGGTAAAGGGGGCGGTTTCCCAACTCCTCCGTCTCTGCCTTTCTCTTAAGCTGCGTTTGTTTTCGCTGTCAGGGTACTGCGGAGGTATTTCTAAGTGCATCTCTAAATTGGTCTCTAAATTTTTTCCAATTGCGGTCCCCGCAGCTGGGCACTTAGCCACCACAGACCAGTTGTGTTGATCTTGCTTCCTTTTGCTGCAAATACTCGCGGAAGAAAGTAGGGGAAGCGCAGAGGCGAGCTCAGCCCTGACAATGAGCCGAAGCCTACCCGGCGTCATCTCGCTCCACTGTTCCTACCTCACTCTGCAGTCTAGTCATTTTGCTTCTTTCAGTGTCGCTAATGTCGCTAAAGCTCTCTCCTGCCAGCCATCCGGAACGCTCCTCTCCTTCTCTGCCTATTTAATTCTTACCTTTCAGATAGCCTTTCTAGAATCACTATCTCAGAGGCCTTCCTAGACCCACTAGTCGAGTAAAGGAATTTTCTTGGGTTTTAAAACCCAAAACACCTTTTTTTGTGTGTGAGTTTTTAAACACAAAATTAAAAAAATTATTTTCCTTCCAAGCACTTATCTCAGCATGTAACTAAACCCTCAGTTGTATGTTCCCCAATAGACTCTTCCCCTACTAAGTTCTGAGAAAGCAGGCCTCACCACCATACCTTCAGCGCCTAGCACAAGATAAATGTTCAATAAACTTTTGTTGAATGCGTGAGTAATATCATCCTCCCTTGCTTCAGAGGCTAATCTAGGATTATTTCAGGATCGGGTAAGCAGATTTGGAGGAGCAGCATAAAGACAGGTAACAGAGTAGAAAGATTCAGAATCAGAACACCTAAGTACCAGCTAACTAGACCTGGATTCTGTTTTGGGTAAGGAACTTAAACTCTCCGGTTTTAGGTTCTTCCTCATCTGTAAAATGAGGCTTATTTATTTCTTCAGTCAATTTTGGGCATGTCTTTAACATTCCTAAGTCTACTCATTTCATAAATATAGATATCTGTTGAGCATTTTCATGTGCCAGGCACAGTACTGACCTCTGGGGATATAGTAATGAGCCAAATATACATGATCTCTGCTATCAAGGGACACAGACACAAATTGTAAACAAATACATGGTCATATGAATGTATGGTTATAAATGTGATGACTGCTTTGAAAGAATGTTATAAAGTACCATGAGAACAGGTAACAAGCAAGCCCACTAATCAGCAGAAGTGACATTTCAACCCAAATCTAAAGGATAAATAAGAGTTAAGTGGGTGGGGAAAGCACAGTCCTGGCAGAAAGAACAAATTGAACAGAGATCCTGAGATGAGAAAAAATTTAGTGCGTTGGTGAAACTGAAAGGCCAGGAGAGCTGAAGCATAGTGAACAAGGGAGAGATTAATAAAAGATAAGATTCAAAAACATCTGTTTAACACCAACAGCCCATGTCATGCTCAAAGAGAGAACTCCACAAGTATTCTCTTAAAATAAAAGTAATCAAGTACGACCACTATTATATAACATTTATTTGGAGATTCTAGCTGGTACAATAAAATGGGAAACAGAAACAAGCAGTATAACTTTGGAGAAAAGAGTTAAATATCCATGATTATAGACAACATGGTTGTATACTAAAGAATTCCAAGAAAATAACCAAAAAACCTACTAGAACTAATCTAAAGTGGTTAGATGATGACTTCTAGCAACATTCTTCCTATGCCCCCCTTGTCCCTCCTATTTCCTAAAATTTCTAAGGCTTTCTACTGTGGGCACAGATCTGTAGGCCACCTCCCTTATTTCCTCAACTATGGACCAAGGCATTTCTGTGTTACTCTAGAGCCACAAATACCTTTACCCAGGCCTCAGCCATGAAACTCATGAATTATTGTTTCCTCTGTAGCTTCCTGTCATATCTGTGATGAGAGAAACAGAGTCCCAATTGCTGCCAGATGTGGGGGCTGTTGTAACCTGTAAGGTAAGTTGGTACTAATCTCCCTGCTTAGGACACTTGTCCAATGCTGAAATCATGATCATTGTAGAAGTGCCCTGTCTAATATGGTAGCCATTGGCTAATGGCCATTAAGTTGAAATGAATTAAAATTAACCACAATTTAAATTCCCTTCCATAGTCCCACTGGCCACATTTCAAATAGTCAGTAGCTACATGTAGTTAGAGCTGCCCTGCTGGTCAGCACAGAACATTTCTATCATCACAGCACTGGACTTTGCTGGTCTAGAGATTTCTAAGATATTGATCAGGGCAGCAAAGTTCAAGCAAGCATAGTTCTTTTACTGAGTTTGTCATTTGCAAAATGGGTACCAAAGGGTGAAAAGGAGGCCTGTTTTTGAATGTCTGGAGCTGACACCTTTTTCTGAAGAAAACCAAAAGATCTTACATTCTAGCATTTCAGTTAAAGTCTGTTAGTGTTTCATGGGAAGTACAAATCAATGCTGTACTGATCAGTAAATATAACACATCAGTACTCCCTGCCCATCCCTACTCTCTGCCAGGTTAAATTAACTTTAGCTTTTAGTTTCTCTCTTTATAAGTTGCGCCGGGAAATCTATATGTTTTTCTGAAAATAACTGGAGAGGCAGTGATCCAAACATTACACAACAGCTGAAATGTAGACTTAAATTTCGTCCACTCTACAGGCCTGTTAGCAAGATCTGTAAAGATGTAGATTTGCCGTGATGCCCTGTGTTTAGGTTAGATGTCTGTATTTTTCAAAATCTACACCATATTATTTCATTTGATTCCTGCAATAACACTTTTAGGTGGCCAGAGTGTATCTTATTCCACTTACATATGTCACTTGTGCAGGGATAAGTAAGAGTTAACTTATCTTAAATTCTATATTTTCTAGAGTTGCTTGGATTAAAACCTTGGAATTCCTAGTGTATTGCTGCCTCCTCAAGCTGACAACTGCTCATACCCTAATGCTGATCTTTCCTCTCTTCCACAGGTCTCTAGCATCAATTCACGCTTTGCCAAAGTGCACATCCTATATGTGGGATCCACACCTCTTAAGAACTCTTTTCGAGGAACTATCCGGTAAGTAGTAGTCTTGCCTTCACATGTGTCTCAGTATCTGGAATAAGATTAGGGTAGAACAGGAGACTAGAATTTTTAGGAACAATTACTATTAGTACTCCTGCCTATTTCTCTTCTCTGTGCTCTGATTCTCTCCAGGTGGTGTCCAAAAAAAAAAAGCATGATATGTGAGCTAGAACAAAAGGAAAAATAAGATAGGGCTTTAAAATAAATTAAAACAATTGTGCTGTGCTGGCGATTAGCAGTGCAGAATAATTCATATTAAACAAAATAGATGGCATTTTAGGCAGTACTTTTTTTTTTTAACTTATTGTACATTAAATCAAGGATTGTAAGACATTAAAAGTGTTAGTGGGTGAAATGGTAGATTTATTTATCCTGCAGGTTCTTTGAGGAAGGACAAAGAATTCTTGTGAGCTAGATCATTTAACTTCTGAGAGCCCTTTCTGCCGTCAGGGTTCTATGTAGCTCCATCATGCCTCTGTTCAAGCTCTCCTAAGGCAGCAAAGTTCCTTATCCTCTCCTGCCAAGTCTGATCTGCTTTTCTCTATACAGAGGATACTGCTGCTCCATGTGAGCCAACAATGAGAAAGGAGATTTTCACCTCCTGGTGAGGACTGGGAGTGCTCCTCTGAGTGGCATCTGGGTCCCAGTTATGACTTGTTCTCTCTGCTCTTGTAGCTCTTTGTCTACTAGGATTCTGCAGAAAAATTCTTTCTGACAAATAATTAATCTTTGTGTTAATTCTTTTTTATAGAAAGGAAGATGTCCGAGCTACTGAAAAAGACAAGGTTGTTGGTTGTTTTTTTTTTTTCTCCCATGGCTTGAGAATCTCAATCCTTTTAACTTAGTCCAGTGAATTTCAAAGATCCATAGGAATGTGGAGTCCAAGGAAGTTTAAGGTGTTGCCTATTGCAGAGTGTGGAATTCACCTCACTGTCTCTTTCCTCTCCATATGATTTTTATTCACTCTGTTGACCAGAAAGGATCTAGTTTACTTTTGCCTTTGAGGTCGGGTATTTATTCCTTGCTGTTCCCTCAGACTTACTCTCTGGATCCTTCCAGAGGCAACTACAGTACCTTTTGTCCAAGTCAGATTCCTGATCAGTTTACTGAATTCAAAATCTTTTCATTTATATGATGATGCTGTACAAGCAATAAAAGGTGTTGATTGACTTGAGCAATGACGACTTCTATCCTCTGGGATTAGGAAGTAAAGTGGCTCTACCAGAGGGGTTAGTAATTTCATGTGGACCTGATTTAGAGCTTTCAGTTAACACTCCTGTTCTTTCTTTACAGGTTGAAATTTATAAGAGTTTCCGCCCGGGAGATATTGTCCTGGCCAAAGTGGTATCCTTTATTCCCAGCAGACTGTGGTCCTTTGTCAAAACAAGAAATGGAAGTAGAGAGACAACTCAAGTGGTTATGGGAGGGAAGATTTATAACCTGTCATTTTCCTTCACCAGTGGTATGTACTAGATCTCCCTAGGTGATGCACAATCCAACTACCTCCTGACCACTGCTGAAAATGAGCTGGGGGTGGTGGTGGCTCACAGTGAGTCAGGTGAGTTGGTCCATGCTTCCTCACACTTACCTTTCCCTGGGAGCTATAGTTGAGACTAATCCGTTGTTTTTCTTTGTTCTCCTTATTTTTTAATTATCTAGGAAGCAATATGAGTGTATATACTACTGAGACTAAAATGATCTTATATAAATCCTAGGAAAAGGGGAACTCACTCCTTAAGTCAGTGGCATTAACAAGGTTTTTTCTGTGTGAGGTGAGGTTCACTAGGTAGCTTAGTGACGCTTCAGTTCATACCCAGTTGGTAAGAAAAGAGAAGGCTCTCAAGCAAGTATCTGAGGTCCTAGCTCCAACACCAGCTTTTCCCTTCCAGGTGTCCAGATGGTTCCCATCAGCTGGTGTGAGATGCAGTGCCCCAAGACCCACACTAAAGAATTCCGAAAAGTGGCCCGAGTACAACCTGAATTCTTGCAGACCTAAGAAGCCACATTTTACCACTTGGAGGAGCATGAGCTGTTTCTAACAGTGCATGTATCAAAGTAACATCAAGATGCCATTGTCTTTATTCAGACACCTGGGGTTGGCCAGCAACCACCTCGTAGGAAAATCTACCAGGAACTTACTTTGTAGGTGGAATAATTTTCTTGTGAACCTTTCAGTAGATTCCATTCCCTTGAGTGTTAAATCTTTCTTTTGGAGGCACCAGCAAACAAACTGTAAGGTGTTGGAAATAGCCTAGTCCTGACAGTCTTACAAATTCATATTTTTTACTGTAACAAAAACATTTTTGCTAAAAGGATTTTATGGTGTCTATTGTCTTGATTAGGGAAAAGAATCATTTCAAGATTTAGAGCAGAGGTTTGCCTGGTGGCACCCATTAACTGACACAGTCACGTGCTTACTTGCTCTGGACAAAGGCTAATCTCGTCTTTTTTGTTTTCATATTATGTCTTAAGTACTTGTGCTTATTGAGTACTTACTACATGCCAGGCTCTAGGTCAGGTACTTTATATTCCCTCATTTAGAGATGATGGTTTAGTGAAAATTACAGGATCCATGATGATTCAGGTGGCATCTAAATAGGTCTGAAAGTAACTTATATAGTATTGCTGATTTAGGGGAAATGTTAGAGGGACAGCAGTATCATGGGAGGTGGCCATGGAAGGATTTGTGACATGAAGTAAAAGGAATTAAAGAACTTAGATCTAAGTGAAGTGAAGCTGTTCAAGCCAGAGAGAAGCTGAGCAAAGGACAGAAGAGGAATGAACACAAAAGTCTGAGGATGAGAAGAGGACAAGGGTTAAGCATGGAATGGTCACACAGGTAATGGGAGGACAGATGAATTATGAGGTGTCACTTCTTGAGATGTTAGTCAAGGAGCTCTTACCTTCCATGTGTAGTGACAGTGGTTTGGGGTGAGCTTTGCAATCAACCCACCTAGGTTTGTATCCTCTAGTTGCTAGCCTTGAGCAGGGTAAGTTGGGGTTTTTTTTAAATTGAACATTTTATTGAGCTAATTGTAGGTCCATATGCCCTTTTAAGAAATAACATAGAGAGATCCTTGTTCACTTTGCTGTTTCCCACAATAGTGACATTTTGCAAAACTACTCTATATGAAAATAATCAGGATGTGGACATTGATACTTAGCAAGTTATTTTTATTTAAATCTGTTTCCTCATCTGTTTATGACCTTACAGGATTATTATGAGGAAGAATGCGTGAAAGTGCTTAGTACCTGCCAATGTTATTGTTATATATTATTATATATATCTGATTGCCTTCTATCAGGTATCCTCTAAATGCCAGGACTTATGCTAGGCACTTTGATCTAGTTTATTTAATCAGTCTCCTATTGTTAAGTATTTTAAATCTACAGATTTTTCTTTTGCAGTCAGTACTGCAGAGAAAACCGCTATACCGTGTATCTTTGTGCAAGCCTATGATTCTTCTGTAAAACAAATTCCTAGAAGTGGAATGCTGGGTCAAAGGGTAAGCATATTGTACAAATTGCTAATACAAAGGATTGACTTTAAAAACAATCTAGTAAACAAGGCTTTACCTTTAATTCTAAGGAGGACATAATGGAGTTTGAGAGTTTGACATTCCAGTCAAGGGGTATTCAGAAACTGGCACCACTAAGCAAGAGCTGTACTAGAGGCATAGGAATGGAGAGCTCAGGCAGGAAGACCTGCCCACCCCATGTCAGCTCGCCAGCCTAGTGAGACAATTTTTGAAACGGGCTGTGTAAGAGTTGTGACTGGTTGCCATCATACAAGGATTTGGTAATGAGACATTTCAAGTTGAATGTTCAAGCTTATTTCCTCAGAAAAGAGAGATTATACACTGCACAGAAAATATTGCACATCACTCCTTTATTATACTGATCTGGAAAAAAGATTTAGTACAATTACGCTCAAAATAAGTACTGGGCCCAAGTGGCAGAGCCAAGCAACTAGAATATGATTCAGCAATCAGACACAGTGAGACACACATTTGGATGTGATCAAGAGACATCTTACTGCCATAAAACAGTTAAGGCAGGGGAGGGACTATAAAACACACAGCAGGATCAGCTCCTACACCTTAAAGTCAAGGAGCTTATCCCACGTTGGTGTGAGGAATGGCTTATTTTATGATGACCATGTGGACATATTTCAACTGCCACTAGAAACTCAAAGGGTTCTTGTTTTCTATTAATTATATATATATATATATTACTGGGGTTTTTTTTGTAAAAGCAAATGCAACACGTAAACATTCAGGATTGATCCCAAACTTGTGCGGTCAGGGAGGAAGCGGTCAGGGAGAAAGCGTTTGTGATCACTGTTCAGGTTACACTCATCTTCCAGTGGAATGACTGGAGCCCCATCCCTCCCAGTCACCCAACTACACAGCAGTACTAGACTGGCTCCCGCAACACAAACAGACTCCCCACTTCTCTGCACTGGTCGTGCCTTAGCGTGGTTCCTTCTGCTTCCCCACTTAAGGAGGTCCTTAGTAGTAAAGCACTAGCAAAAACCAGTTACTATCCTCTCTTGGGTGAGTCTTCCCTCAGCTGGGAAGGAGGACCCAGGTCCCAGAGGTGCCATTCTGACCAGACTGTATGAAGGGAGTGGGTGCAAGAGCCAAAACAGCTAACCTCAAATTGGGAGCCACCAGTCCCCACCTGCAGCTACAACTTAAGATGCCTACAGATGTGATCAGTGTGACATGTGCAGGGGAGAGGCGCAGAGGAATGGGACGGGCAGGGAGGGTGTCCTTGGGGAAAGCGGTCTGCTGGCTCGCCTTTACTTCTTGGCCTTGCCCTGGGCAGCTACAGCTTCCATGGCTTTGCGCACAGTCTCTTCATCCCCCAGGAACTGCATGGGTTTGATGGGCTTCAAGTTCTTGTCCAATTCATAGACGATGGGAATACCAGTAGGCAGGTTCAGCTCCATGATGGCCTCTTCAGAGAGACCTGAAAATACCCACCATGATCAGCCAACAAGATGTGAATCCACATCACTCCTCCGGGTGACAAAAGACTTTGGTAGAAATTAAAACAGGACATCCTTTCTGATATTTGTAATAACAGTAATTATGTGTGTTATGAGCTACCCACCCCATGTCAGCTCGCCAGCCTAGTGAGACACCCAAGGGATGTCCCTGATACTTACTCCTCAGCCACTGAAAATCAAGAAGAGTATGAAAAGTATATACTGTAGATCTCTCCCAAAGTGGGACCTGGAAACCCAGAGTGAAGAAGGACTATACACATCTCAAATATCCTATATAGTCTGTCCAGCCTACCAAAAACCTGTACATCTGGACCTCTAGGCCCTCAGGTGAAACAATTTAAGATGTAAACAGATTCATGTATAAAGTTGTACAAGGTTGTGATTAACTTTATCAACATTTCCAACTGCAATCCTAGTCTAGAGGTGGACATCTCAAACTTAAATGTGATTCTTAATCACCCGGGTGGTTGAGGCAGCTTGGAATCAGGTCTGAAGTGGGATCTGAGGTTCTGCATGTATAACAAGCACCCAGGGGGTGTGGCCACCTCTGCTTTTGCAGATAATGCTTTGAGAAATAGGGTAGAAGATGTGTTTCCACTAGGAGTCAATCTAGACTGTCTAAAGCTATCACTCTGTCTGGTCCTTTCCTGAAGGTCTCCTTCACAGTAAATAAGTCCCTGATTAGCGCCAGTTCTGCTTTATCCCTCCTTGAGGGCTCCTCTGAAAAAATGTACATACCCTCCAGATGCTTGACAATGCCCCGAAGGCTGTTGCCATGTGCTGCAATCAGTACCCGTTTCCCCTCCTTGACCTGGGGAACTATTTCTTCATTCCAGAAGGGCAGAGCTCTGGCAATAGTGTCCTTCAGACTCTCACAAGAGGGTAGCTGATCTTCAGTAAGGTCTGCATACCTGCGATCCTAAACAGTAACAAAAAATCCAAGCTCACAAATTATGAACAGTTGTATCTGTTCTGCCCATTCCTCATCCCCTAAGGGGTCAAAGTGATGGGTGAAGTTCTCTCATCTGTGCACAGAATGCAGCTGACTGCTTGGGGAAGGGAATAATTATTATCCTGCCCCTCTCTCCCCCATTCCTCCCACTGAGATTAACAGTTCAAAACACAACGTAGAAAGGGAGGTTTGGGAGGAAGGTAGGCTGGCTACAGGCTCTTCCCAATTCACTTTATCTTGTAATTGGTTTAGGAAGGCCATATCTATGGCTATGGTTGGGTTTCATAAAATATAGCAATGGAGATATAAGAAAGCAGATAGAAATTCATTTTAGATAAACAACATAAACCATCAACAAAAGTTTTTAACAAACGAAGGTCATTCTTTGGAAAGGGGGATTACAACTAACTACTTTATCATAAATTATAAACTCAATGGACTAGATAGAACACTAATAAAAGCTGGAAAAGAGTGAGGCCCAGATTCTAATTCCTGGGTCCTGGGTGGAGTGAACCAAGCCTTGGTTTGTCCATACCTTACTGATGTTGCTGTAGAAGGGATGCTCAGGTTCCATCGGAGGTGGTGGGACATCATAGGAGCGCCTCCAGATCTTTACTTGGGCTTCACCATGCTTGGCAGCAGTTTCTGCTTTATTGAGGCCAGTCAGACCCCCATAGTGCCGCTCATTGAGGCGCCAAGTCCTCACAACTGGCAGCCACATTTGGTCAATGGCATCCAGCACTGTCCAGAGCGTACGAATTGCTCTCTTCTGCACGGAGGTGAAGCAGATATCAAACTCATAGCCAGCATCTGGAAATTTTAAATTCAAAGTGATGAGCTAATCAGGTCCACTCTGGAACCAGAATTTTTACATATAAATCTCCCAAACAAGTAGTCCAAAAGAAAACTATTTGGCTAAATATTTTATTTTGTATATTCTAGCAGGAAAACAACAACAACAACAGTATTGTGCCTTCAGGGAAGATAAACCTTGTTGACTTATGTTACAGGTGACAACATACCTCCCAGCAGTTCCCCAATAATTCATCTAACCTAAGACCTAACTGTTCTGCCAGCCAGTTAACCTTCCATCTGTGCTGCTTATCCTAATCCCCAGAGTGCTGTGCGGACACACATTTTAAGAATTTGTTTCTGCTTCCATTCTTTCAAGAAAATGATCCTGAAAACTTGGGACTATCTTAGTGAAAACAGTAATAGCTAATATTCAAGCTTATCATGTATCAGGCAGTGGACTTAATACTTCGGGTTTTATTTAGACTTCATAATAATTCTATGAGGTTACAATCCCTACAACCCATTTTACCAGATGAGGAAAATAAAGACTAGAAGCTAAGCAGATTATTGAAGGTCACAGCTGTTACAAGACAGGAACTAAAACCCAGGCTGTGTGACTCCAGAATCCAACTCATAACCACCATTTCTAGGTACCTCCATAATTCCCTCACTCCTAAGGATCCTGATGTTTGTAATTTAGGTTAGAATTGTCACTTCTGAAATTGTCTAGGGAAATGGGTTTTTGAACCTCCAAAAATCAGGACACAACAAGAACTCTTAGAGGATGCTGCTAACTTCAGTTATTGCACAAAATTATATTTCCACTATAGAGGATGGAAATCACCATATTCTCTACATCCACAGCCCCTCTCTGCTAAAGTCAAGTGCCAGCCTATTCCTGGGAGGAATATACCTACTTAGTTAAACTGTGAAACCAGCTTTAGGAGAAATCACTCACTGGAGTAAAAGCATCACTCTTCCATACACAGTAGTTATTAAGGGGTGGTAACCAAGAGTTATGTTGGCTCAACCACAAGGTTACAACGATTAATCTTACCTTACTTTGTATTTCATGAAAGATTATTCTGCCACCTACTTAGTGGGGAGATGTCCCTTTCCTTATGTAATAGGCCAAGAAAACATTCCTGTTTTCCTCCAAGAGGCTACAAGGCTCCCTGAAATTCAAGACAAACTTTCCAGGGTATTGCCTCACATTGAGGTTGCTAACAGTAATTAATGAAATGTGAAGTAACTTCCTGTCAGTCATTCAACTGAGAATGCAGCCAGTAAGAACTACACTGATGGGGGAAGGATTAATCACCAGGAAATTCATGCCACCTACAAGGAAAAAGATGACAGATCTCATCACAGCCTCAGAACAAGTCCTAGTAGACTCAGTTACCATATCCTCCCCTAACCATCAAGGGAGAAAGGCTTCCCAGTAAAGGCTGAGTCACTGGGAAGAGGCTATCCATAGTGCAAGCCCGCACTCCCAGAATGAAAAGCTATTGGCTGTTTCACTGCAATTATTTCTACTTGCAATGGAGTGCCTCACATGTAATACACACAATAGGTCCCCCCAGGAGAAAAGCAGTTCCCCTTAGGGCTCTTAATAGGGAACTCTAAAGCCTCTTCCTTTAACTTGCCTATTAAACAAAAGCATAGCCTAGAACACTCCCAGGGATGGAGTGGAGCTCATCTTTTCCCAGGAGTAAGACTGCATGAGGAAACCCAGTTCTTGCTAGTCTCCTCCTGAAATGAATCAAGATTTTATAAATCCTAGTATCGTTTAAGGCTCTGGTGAGTTTATTCTATTTATTTTAGGTCTCAGTTTATTAGATTATTCATAATGGTCTTTGTCATTAAGAGTTTCTGCTTCTGGTCTTTCATTTTTTAATATAATCATCTGTGATGCCAATATAGATATTAAGATTTTAAATAGAATTTTCTGAAAGTAATGCTACCAACATTTACTTAAAAACTGAAATAGGATCGTTATTTTAAAGAGAGAGAACAAATCTAACCATTTGATCACCCTTAGAGAACAGCTTTGCCTGAGGATAGTCATTAGCAAATAACCACAGACCCATACAGTTCTTCCTGTTAGACAGTAGGAGAGAAAATGGCCTCCTTTACTAGCACTTTCCCTTTCCAGGGCTCTCCTAAATGGGGTGAGGTCACACTAGGCCATCCCAAAGCATTCACACGCACCTCCAACAAAACTGCATTCCCCAGACTTTCCAAACCTTTAGTTCATTTCAAAAGGATCTATAGTAATTCGTTCACCATGTAAGAACTTGTTCGTTATGCTTCAGAAGATTGGAGACTGACGAGAATTAGGCTTGAGATGGATTAATGATTGTACATTGAGCGTTGACCCCCCCTATACTGAATTTTATTGTTGTTAACAACCATTTGATCAATAAATATGAGAGATGCCCTCTCAAAAAAAAAAAAAAAAGCATCTATAGTGAAGGCAAGAAGCCACAGACAGCAATCTGGGGCCACATATCTGTTCCTCATCAACCAGACATCATGATCCTTCTAAAAAGCTGCTACTTTGTCTAGAGGTTAGAAGGGAGCAGGGCAGGACCTGCCCTAATTGCCAGTGGAAGCATCTCCTCAGTCCAGAGATTTGAGTTGCAGGCAGCAGGAAATGCTTCCTTATTAGCATTCCAAAATCAGAGAGCTGACTGCCCCAGGGGTCAAGCCTGGATGGGCAAGCTTACCTCACTGTCACTTCCATCTAAGCCCAGCGCCTGTCACTCAACCTAAAACTGAGGTCAAGGCACTGGATTAGGAATAATACAGGGCCTTGGACTAGTTATTTTTCTAATTCTCACTTCTCCCTACTATGAAAGAGGGCCAGGAAGGGATGGGAAGGAAGGGGATAAAATCTGTCTACTTTGCGGTGTTGTGGAGAGCATCTACTCAAATCATTCATTCATTCATTCACTCAATTACATGTTGGATACAATTTCAACACTGGATTTGTGGAATACTGAACAGCAAAGGCCCACATAAACACGTGTATTTCTCGGTATCTTGAGGCCTGTAGACCACCCCACAGTCGGGGATAAGTGTGTGCACACACTTCACTGGGATACGCAGTTGCCTCTTGAGATTTGGTTACAGTTGCTGAAAGACACCGGCATTCAATTTAATAACCCGTCTCCGAATTACTTAATGCTAAGACCAGAAAGCGGGAATTTCACAAGTCGGTGTCATGGAGAGCGCAGTGAATTGCAAGGCAACCGCCCTGGGTCCTCTTCTTGGCGCGGCCCCTCACACTCCACCGGGTGACCTTGAGCAAGTCAATTCCCTACTCTGGACCCATTTTCTCAATTGCAAAATAAATTGATGGAGAGGTGAAACCCAAGATCTCGGCCCTCTCCGGGAAGGCGCGGGGGCGATCCAGCGGCCGAGACTCAACCGCGCCGGCCCGGGCCTTACAGCCCCCTCCCACGACCCGCACCGGCCCGCTCCGCACCTCGCAGCGCCTGCCCGCCGCGCTTCGCTTCCTCGTGCCCCGCCGGGCTCAGATCGGCGTCGTACCAGCCGCTGAAGCGGTTCTCCAGGTTCCACGCGCTCTCGCCGTGCCGTATCAGTACTAGCTTATAAGCGGCCATGGCTTCGGTTCGGAGTTCAGCGCACACTGGGGCTTGCTGAGATTCCGGAGTCGTAGTCCGGCCCCCGGCTGCGCCTGCGCGCTCGCTCCCCGCCCGTCGCCGCGCGCTTGCTGGCCCAAATCTTTCCACTCGTTCGGGGCCGCCCTCCGCCGACTGGGGGTGCGCATGCGCCCCGAGCAGGCGCAGCTGCCGCCGTGGGGAAGGGGCACGCTCGCGGCCGCCGCGGCGGTCACGGAGCGCACGTAAGCGACGAAGGGCGGCGAGACCTTTGGGCGGCGCCGGACGTGCGTGCTGGCCCGCGTGTTTCAGAGTCACCCGCCAGCCTAGGACTTCTATCATTCATAACCCATTCGTTGCAATAAAATGGTTCTTGTCATTTGAACGGGGCATAGCTGTTGCCAGGTTACTTTTCCATCCTTATGCAATGTTTGATTCACACATTGAATGGATCTTCACTGTAATAATTTATTTGCTTATTATTACTTTATTTTCTTATTATTCACTTAACCATGCCCAGCCTCATCTGTAAATGGACACAATACTTAGTTGATGCCTATCTACCTGGAAGGTGCTCAGTAAATAGTTAACTATTGCTAGCTCGTTTCAGTGGACATTGATCTATTTTACATCTTTGATGCCTATCTACCTGGAAGGTGCTCAGTAAATAGTTAACTATTGCTAGCTCGTTTCAGTGGACATTGATCTATTTTACATCTAAGGAGACAAGCTTGACTGCCGGTTCCTAAGCCCTGCTCTTCATCAAACACAGGACTGTTTATTCCACCTCTTTTAGTCTCTCACCGCCTCTAATCAGTGCCTCCTGGGCCTCCAACAGTCAACCTCTAGGCCCCTTTGAAAGTTCCAGGAAGAGGAGAGTCGTTCCTCCCCTACACCCAGTCAGCAGTTTACACATCTGCTTATCTGCACAGCTCTCTGCTGCAGTGGCACTGTCTCCTGGTTTTTCAATCTAGCCACTTTATTGAGCACCAAACATGAGTCAAGGTCAAACATGAGATTGGTTGGATGTATTTTCTGCCCTTCACAACAGGTGGACAACAAACAAGACGCACATGTAAATAGCTAACTGAAATTGTGCCGTGTGCTGTATTTTGACAGATTCCAGAAGAGTTTTTAATCTCCATCTCTATGATCCAGGCAATGTAAGTGCTTTACAAATGACAACTCATTTAATCCTCAGAATGACTCTAGGAGGCAGGTGCTGTCATTTCCCTACTTAATGAGAAAACTGCGGGATGAGGTCATTTGCCCAAGGTTATAGGACCCAGGCTCAAGTGTAGGCTGGCTGGCTCCCAAGTCCATATATGCTCTTGCCTGTCACTCTCTAAAGCCTCCACATTTGGTGGGGGTGGGGGTGGGGGGAAATGCATTTTAGGCATTTAAAGAGTGGGAAAGATTTGAGAGGCAGAGAAAAAAGCACTTTGGGAACATGAACCAAAATGCATTAAGACGGTTTGTAAATATATCATCTACTGTTTGTGAAAGTTTAGTGTGTCAAGTGTTGTATTATCTCAATGTTTTAGCAATTCATATGATGTAGGTGTTCTTATAGCTCCATTCCACAGATGAGGAAACCTAGACCCAGAAATAATTTGTCCAAAGTCACAGATCAGAAGTGGACAAGAAATCAGGACTCAAACCCAAGCAGTTCCATGACCTAGCGTGACCTTTAACCACAAAGCTCCACTGCCTCGCTCCTCTGCTGTGGAGAGAAGATGGGACTTCAGTAACCAGAGGTGACTGGTATAAGGTCCAGCACTAAAAACTGCACCCGGAGCTCACAGCATCCCATGGTTGTGAAGGGAGAACTGCCCTCAAAGACCCCCTTGTTCAAGTCCCAGTGGGGCCCACGTGTGTCCTTGAATGACTCTCTCTCTATAAACTCTCTCTAGTGGTTCCTTTTCTCAGATCATCCCAATCCTGATGCTCAGGCCCTCACAGAGAAAGCTTTTCCAGCCCTATCCTGGGTTTCCCAGACTATACTTTTTGTACAGGACTGTACCAAGGCCGTGAAGGCTTGGCAGCTGGAAACCATAATTCCTGGGCAGAGATGGGGATTCATTCAGCCATCTATCAAAACATCACAAATTTGGGAAGAAGCCTAAAGCCAATCAAAGAGCTTTCTCAGATGTCAGTAAAGGGTAAGGATAAACCAGTGTTTTGCCCTTTGCTACTTCTTTTTTAAGAAATCTTAATTGTTATCTCTACTAAACATAAGACATACAGACATTTGTTAAGGCTGATTCCTGGGCCCTCCTAAAGAAGTGGGTGGATGCAGGAGAGCATTCACCCATCCTGAGAGCAAAACAGCTGTGAGGGGCTCTGATCACAGCTGGGAGCCGGCTCCTGGGAACAGCGTGAGGCACCCACGGTATGGCTCCTAACCAGGTCACTGCTCTCCCTCTGTGCCCTGCAGAGGTCAATGTGGTGAAATTAAGTCACCTTCCAGCATGAAGTGTGGGGGTGGAGATCTGTGCTCCAGAGCTTTCTTAGCTGTCAGCTTCTGGGCCGGGGGCACTCATCAATGAGAAGCCCACATCTCTACATGAGGCCTCCAGCCAGCCTCTAAACCCTGAGCTCTTAGGGCAGACAGCCTCCCTTCTAGACCATGCTTGAATTCCTCAGGCCTCAGGGAAATTCCCAGGATTTTAACAGCTTTCAAACAACCAACAAATTGTTGATTACGCTGTTACAAAAACTCAGATGAGGATAATCAGTGGTCACAGCTACATTATCCTCCACTGTCCCTTAGAACAATAAAGACTTCTCTCAGCCTTCCCTTCCCATTTATTTTTTCCAGAGAATAATTCCTTTATCAGGTACTGAACATTCTGTGAAGGACTCAATCTAGAGCTGCAGCGGGGCAAGCCAAATTCTCTGCTGGGTGAGAGGAAGGCAGCGGCCATTCGGTAGGCTCCCTGCCAGAACCCCGCAGGTCTTTCTTGTTGAACATCTTGCAAACTCATCACCTGATGTTCTGATCCCCCCAGCTCGGCTGGTGTCTGAGGAGAGCATTTTGGCCTTGGAAAGAGGGAGCCCAGATGATGGAAGCCAAGGCCTCAAGACTGAGCACCTAGAAAAAGAAGCAGTGCTTCAAGGTGGGTAAGACTCACACTCCGGCCACTATAGTTGCCATCTGAAGATAAACAGAGCTGGAACTGGGAAGCCTGGGCGGGTGGAGGCCTCTGAGACTGCAGTACATTTGTGAGGGAATTCATAAAGATTATCTGGCAGGGAATCCTTGAGCCCAAACCACCCACCAGAGGAGTGCCCAGTTTCCCAGGACAGGCCTGCCTCTGTGTCCTTCACACAGGGATACTGTCAAGCTGGACAGCCGTGGGCTGTGTGGCCTCTGTCTGAATGCTGTGAGCAGTTTCAGAGTGACCCATGGGACCCTCTGTTCATCAGCTGTGTGAGACCTGAGGGGCACATTCTCAAGGCCTGCACAAGTACATTCTATAAGTTTGTCAGAAATGTTTTTAGGTCAACGTTTAGTAACTACTTACTGGCTGACTAAGGAAAGCTATTTATTAAAGGTGCCTTTCAACCAACAGCAGGGTGACCAGGTTTCCTGTGTGTCTGTTAAGTATTTTGTTTTAGGTAGAGCAGGGAAGCTGGTGGCTATTATGTTTCTGACTGCAGTGGAGGAAAATGATTGTCTCCTAGAGGTAACAATAGGAGCCAGCTCAGAATTGTCCTGCCTAAGAAATATCAACAAGAAATAATAACTATCAGAAACCCACATGAGTTCCTCAAATGGTGTAACAGAGTTACATATGATCCTGTAACTCCACTCCTTAGATGTACACTTAAGAGAAATGAAAGCATATGTCCACATTAAAACTCATACACAAATCTTTTTAACGGCATTAGTCCATCAACTGGTGAATGGATAAACAAAACCATGCTATTGCCATGCAATGGGACATTAGTCAGCCATAAAAAGAATGATGTTCTGATACCTGCTACAACGTGGATGAATGTTGAAAACATTATACTAAGTGAAATAAGCCAGACACAAAAGGTGAGATATTGTGGATTCCATTTACATGAACTGTCCAGAATAGGTAAATCTAGAGACTGAAAGTAGTTTAGTGGTTGCCTAGTACTGGGAGATTGAAGGATAAAAAATAAGGGGTGTCATTTGCAACAACATGGATGGAGCTAGAGGGTATTATGCTCAGTGAAATAAGCCAGGCGGAGAAAGACAAATACCAAATGATTTTACTCATATGTGGAATATAAAAACAAAGAAAAACTGAAGGAACAAAACAGTAGCAGAATCACAGAACCCAAGAATGGACTAACAGTTACCAAGGGGAAAGGGACTGGGGAAAATGGGAGGGAAGGGAGGGACAAGGGCAGGGAAAAAGAAAGCGGGTATTAAGATTAGATGTATAATGTGGAGGGGGTACGGAGAGGGCTGTGCAACACAGAGAAGACAAGTAGCGATTCTACAACATCTTACTACGCTGATGGACAGTGACTGTAATGGGGTTTGTGGGGGGGACTTGGTGAAAGGGGGAGCCTAGTAAACATAATGTTCTTCATGTAATTGTAGATTAATGATTAACAACAAAAAAAAAAGGGATGTGGAGTTTCTCTCTGAAGTTATGAAATGTTCTAAAATTGCCTATGGTGAAGGGTGTACTTATCTTTGGACTAAAAACTATTAAATTCTATACTTTAAATGGTGAAATGGATAGTATGTGAGTTATATCTCAATAAAGCTGGGTTCTTTTAAGTTTTCAAAATTATTTTTACAAAACCAGCCTGAGCTTTAGCCACCAAGAGCCGTTGCTCAATGGCAGGGAGGTGGGTGTGAGTGGAGGGCTTCGCAGACTGTAAAATGGCTGCTGCTGCAGAGAAGCAGCGGTCTGCTTTCAGTCCCAGTCCTAATGCAGCTGAGTCTCCCAGCAGCTCCAGGGCTGACCCTCAGGGGTGTGGCTGGGCAAGCACTGTACCTCCTGCTAGACCAGCAAGCAACAGGAAGGAGTGAGGGAGGAGAGGCCTCAGCGGAGGCGGGACAGAAACTGGCTGTGAGGCCTGGCCTCAAGCTGTCCCCTGGTGCCTCACATCTCCTCCCAAGACAAGGGACTGAGTGGTCTGGGCTCCGAGGTCCCATTTCACATTTCATATGTGACCCCGCACCAGGGCCTTGCCCTGCTATGCAACTAATTTCCCTAATCCCTGTACTGGGAACACCCCAGCCCCAGGATCCTGGAGGGAGGGAGATGACAGAAATGACCTTGTTGCCATAGCCTGGACCAGATAGGTGCCCCCCCAAGCCCCCAGACTCTAAATTCCTCTGGAGATTTATCCCCTTGAGCAAACGCCACTGGCAGAGTCAATGGTTTGAGCTAGCAGCAGTCAATTGAGGAAAAAAAATTCTCACACCCTAAACACTGTCCTGTTGCCTTGGCAACAAGTAACTTCCACAAAGGGTTTTAAACCATTTAATCAATGACAACTCATATCCATTTAACTGAACAAAGAGAATTATCCATTTAACTGAACAAAGAGAATATGCCTCAGTGACCACACTTCTGAAAGCCTTCCAATCAGCAACAGCCACACTCTGGTTTGCCACCCAGTTCCTAACCTCTCTCCTCTAAGTGTACTGGTCGCTGACCTTCACACCTCCCAGCACCCTACAGATCACTTCCACGCTCTGCTCTGAGAGATTGCACCCTACAGTCATTGTTCTGCCCTCCTTCAGATACTGGCAGGTGCTCTCTTCCATCAGTACTCATATTCTGGAATATCCCCTTCCTGGGAAAAACTTATCCTCACTCCTAAGGCTATTGCTAGTCTCGGGGCCAACCCTTCTGCTAGACAAGGCCCCAGTGAGGACTGGATTGCAGATCCCTCAGCTGGGAAACTGAGCAGTCCAGTCTGTATAACTGCACACAGCCACCCTGCTTCTCCCTTACCACTGGTCAGTTGGCTACTGCTGCCCACTCTGTCTCCTACAGATGTGTTCCAATCTGTCCCCACCAACTCTGCCCCCACTGCTGCAGCCTCAGCGTCATGCCTCGTCATTTCTTGCCTGTACTGGCATCCCCGACTCCAGTCCTGGCCACTTCTAGAGCAAACACGTCATACTCCTGCCGGCCCCTGTGCCCTGAGCCCAGCCTGAACCCTCACCTTCCTGGTCAACTCCAGCTTACCTGCAGGAGTCAGCCCCAACATCACTGCAATGGGCTGAATGTCTGTGTCCCCCCCAAATCCATACACTGAAATCCTAACTCCCAGTGTGACAGTGTTACAAGGCGGGGCCTAGGAAAGGTGATGAGGGCATGAGGGTGGAGCCCCATGAATGGGCTTCGTGCTCTAATAAAAGAGACTCCTGAGAACTCCCTTGCCCCTTCTGCCATGAGGACACAGTGGTCTCAGAATCTGGAAGTGAACCTCAGTGCCTTAATCTTGGGCTTCCCAGCCTTCAGAACTGTGAAAGATAAATCTCTTTTATTTATAAGCCACTCAGTTTATTATATTCTGTTATGGCAGCCCAAAGAGACCAAGACGGCTCTTACCTAAAAGTTGTCCCTGACTCTCCTCCTAGGCCTGTCCCTGCCAGGCCCAGGGTTCCTATAGCTCCTGGGGATATCTGGATGACTGCACTGACCATCATCCCTGGGTTTCCTTGCTGTCACCCCCACCAGCCTGTGAGTGCTGTACATAAGACCTAGGCTACTTTCATCTCTTTGTAACTAGATAGTTGTGAAGAACAGGACTTGGGAGTAACGTAAGTTACAATTCCAACTTCACCACTTAATGCTGTTGGGAATTTAAGCAAGTGAAAAGCTTTAGTTTCCCCATCTGCAAAATGTGATAATAATAGCACCTCCTGTGCAGTGTGGTTGTGAGGACTCAGCGGGATTGTGCATGTGAGTTGCTTGGCATAGTGCCCAGCTCTGTACGGGCTAATAAACGGTAGTTGGTATCATCATATGTCAGAATCCCTGACACATAGACATCCACTAAATGTTATTTTCCTCTCCTCCTCTCTGCCACAATGCCCCATATGCTCAGCAGCAATATGTATTGGTTGAGTAAACGAAGGGCCAGTACTTCTAAGTACAAGCCCTGTAAGTTATTTTCCCAGATGGCAACCTTCAAAAACTCTATTAAAATCCAGATGTGCTAGACTGGCCATCAAGGCTCTTCAGGATCTGCTCCCCATCTTCTCACCCACTCCACTTTCAAGAAGTCACCTTCTCATCAAAGATAGCCCTCTGCAGCCCCCCAATGTGGGGGCATCTTCTAGGACCCCCAAAGCTTCACCTGAACTTCTCTTGTGCCTCTAGTTGTGCTCTGCTTGTGTCATGTATTCATTTGGCAACAGATGCATTGCATACCTACTGTGTGCCAGACACTGTGGCAGGCTCTGAAGGTACAAGAGTGGACCAGGCATGGTCCCTGTCCTCAGGGGTTCATAGGAGAGAGGCAAAGAAACAAAATGCAATTCTGTGAATTGAGCATCAGTGAACATTAACATTACTAAGGGCCCTAGAAAGAATTACATGCAACATTTTCAATTTATAAATGTCTTGTCTAAGCATGATTAACCTGCAAGTTTCTCTTAAGAGCAGAGTGGATCATTAAGCATCTTTACATATCTTCATATGCTTACTTAGTACAATACCTTACACATAATAGGTGCTCAACATATAACTTTTGGGTATGTAACTGAATTAAATTGATCAGAACTAGTCCTCCTAACACCTAGCTGAGAGCCAAAGGCTGCTCATTGCCTATCCAATATCAATTATTCCCTTTTCCCTTAAAAATAGAATCCCCAGGGGGGAGAAGGGAGGGCTGCAGTGTTGCCAATTAGAAGACTACATTTTTCAGCTCCCTCTGCAGCCAAGTTCGGCCAAATGACTAAGTTCTGGCTGATCAGATGTAAGTAGAACTGCCTTAAAGGAACTGACTTGGCTGGGAGGTGCACCTTTTTTGGCTCTTCCTTCCTTCCTTCTCACGGAGTCTTGATTTTGAGTGTGATGGCTGGAGCTCCTGCAGCCTGTATTTGGAGCATGAGGTGACACCGAGGATGGAAGATGCACACCATGGAGAATGGAACAGAACAGGAGAGGGAGCCCAGGACCCTGAAGACTCTGTGGAGGCACTATGCCAGCCTGGACTGCCCACCTTTCTCCTGATTTCCTCAATGTGAAAGAATTAACCCTGTGTGTTTAAGCCACTGTAGTGGGAGCTCTGTTATAGCAGCTGAACATAATTCCTTACTGATACAGAGGCCCTGACAAGGAGGGGTTTGAAGTAGTAAATAGTGAAAGATTTAATTTTGGAGTAAGAATGAATTTGGGGGGGGACCAAGACACCAAGTTAGAATGATGATTATGCTGTCTTTCTTTACCCAGACTCCCTTCTGCCACTCATGGACACCTACTGTCTGAGAGAAAAAAGGGTGGGCTCCACCTTGGAGAGAGTTCCCCTTTTAAGCAAGAGCAAATCTGCCATGTCCTGATTCTAGTCCTCTGCACTCAGAGGGAAACACGTGTCCTCTTTGGTACACCAGGCCATCTACTTGTCCCTCCAGACTAACTCTAGGAAGCAAGCTCTTCTTGTTCCTGAAAGCTCTTCTTTGGCCACATGGAATGTTAATGCCCCAGCAGCTGAGGGACACTCAGCTCTCTGCCACAGTGATGTGCAGGCATGGTGCTAAGCATTCTTATTATTTTAGCCTCAGAACAGCAGCCTCATTTTCAGATAAGGAAACTGCGGCTGATAAAGCTCAGTCACTCAGTCACACCTAAGGTGTGGCTCCAAATGTGGGCTTGCCTAAGCCCAAAGCCTGGGCTTTAACATGGCTCCAGCTGTTAGGAAAACCCTTTGGGGCAGCAACTTGACCACCTTGGTCATGATGGGCTGCCTAGCCAAAGCCCTTCTCCCTCCCCCACAACTTGAGCTCTAAGTTAAACACCCAAACCATCACTTCCTCTTTGAGGCAAGAGGATAAGCCCCCCAACTTCCCTTTCCTCCTGGTCAGTGTCATAACAGATTACAGCCCTGCTAACCTAAAAATGGCCTTCCTGCTTGCCTTGGGCTCAGAGCTCTGGGTGCAGCAGCCCTGCCCCGACTACATGAGCCTCGCAGATGGAGGTTTCAAGGGCAGTGGCTACACTGGTGGTTCCTAGGCTAAGAGTTGGATCTCCTGGCTTCTGCTTATTGACTGACTGTTTGACCTTGGGGAGTCACTGAACCCCATGGAACCATGTTTCCCTGTCTGTAAAATGAGAATCTTGCACTTACTTAGATAACAGGTAGGAAGGTGTTTGGGAACTCTTCAAGAAGAGTTTTTTAGACAATAATAATTAGCTCACATTTATTGCCTCCTCCCTATGTGCCAGATGTATACTAAGTATTTTACATGTATTCTTTAGTTGTCCTAAGTTCTGTGGGTAGTCATTCTTATCTCCATTTTATAGGGAGAAAAGTTGAGGCTTAGAGAACAAGGTGACTTGCTTAAGGTCACATAGCCAAGGGGCAATATTTGGATTCTAACCCATAGGGTCTAACCCCTCCTACAAATTTGAGTGGTCCTTGTTAGCCATCTGTAGTATGGCTGATCATAGAGATAGCTAATTCCCCTGGGTGGGAGACACTGCTGGAATTCAGGGCTGGGGAGGTTGATCCTTCATCAGAAAGATGAGCCTTGGGGTACAGTGTGGAAGAGTGTGCTCAGGCCATCTGGATGCCTCTTGACCCCTCCCCTGGAAGCACATGCCTTCTGGAGAAGGTATAAGTAGATGCCTCAGGATGGAAAGCCTGCAGGTGGCCCATGGGCCCTTCATGCCCATTCCAGACTGGTGATTCATCCAGGGACTGTATCCGGTTGTAATACAGACTCAGTTTGGAGACCAGCAGTTTCTGCTGCCTAGGAACAGGATAGGAAGGCTGCCACTATTCTGAGCCTTTTCATCTTCCCATCTAATTTGCAAAATCCCAACCTGTTCAGCGCTTCAGCTGCCTCAGAGTAGGGTTTTAACTTTAATTGGTTGTTGGCAGAGCTCCCTCTGGTGGCAAAGGTGCAGCACCGCCCCCTTCACGTGGTCCCACAAATGTTCTCAAAGAGTTGTGCATATTGTGAAATACACACACACTTTCATATTGATTCCTCAGAGGAACCCAGAGGCTTCTGGCATTATCACCGCTTTACAGAATGTGATGGGGAGACTCGGAGAAGATAAATCCTTGCTCAGTGTCATGCGGTAAAGTAAGTCTAGACTAGAATCCTACACTTTCTCTATCATCTCTCAGTAACTGTTGCCACATCTAGAACACCAGCTTGCTTACAGCAGTTTCCAAACTTCTCTGCCTCTTCCTCTCCAGGCCAGCAGTTTCCCCTTTTCAGCCTTCCCTCCCAGATCTTTGACCGTGTCCCAGGAACGGCCCTGGCTGAAAGTTGCTGTTGTTGACTGCTGCCATAGAGGTACGGGGCCCAGAGTCAGCGCTAAGCTACTTTCTCTGCTGTTAACAGTCTTTGTGCTCTCTCCGCTCTGCATGCAAGGACCACTTTGTATTTTTAGTAAACCAGTGAATGTAATATATATACAGAAGAGTGTACAAATTTTAAGTGCACAGCTCAGTGAATTATCACACAATGAATACATCCATGTTGTTGGGGTGTTTTTCCATACATATACAACAATAGTATATTACAGCAGTGTAACAGTATTATAACTCCTTTCAGGTTCTCGGACCCAATCCCAATACGTGTGTTGGGGGTGGCGGTTAGGGGTGGTCTTCCCACATACACACCAAGCAATTTGCAAACATCAAAACAGGGTGTCCAAGAACTCAATTCAATCTTGACACTATGTAAGTCTGGGGAAAGGAAATCCCGGGGCAAAATACCCCTAAAAACCAAAATCAGTCAAAGGGAGAAATAAAGTTTAAAACCTGTTTATTGCTCACAAACTGCAGTCCCAGGCCATCTTTATTCTCTGCTCAAGCAGCAACCACACCAGCCCTCCCCCTCAACTCTCAGGTACAGATAAGCCCTCCGTTGCCCAGGTAATTACCCATTGACATGGAAACGAACTTCTCCACCCCTGAGGAAAGATGCAAATGTACTAAAGCCTACTTGTTTACACCTCTGAACGCCTGTTGATATGCAGATGTACTAAACCCAGGCGAGATATTCTGGAAATGTTACAATTTTGCCCACACGCTATCTGCCTGGGGACAGTACCAGATAGATACTCTAGGCTAAAAGTTGGATCTCCTGGCTTCTGCTTACTGACTGACTGTTTGACCTTGGGGTGCTTCCCCATCTCTGAAATGAGAACCCAGCTCTGTGGGGCCCAAAGCCTCCTCACTTAGATAACAGAAAGGAAAACAGCACCACGTTAAGGCCTCCGTCCTTCAAGACTGCCCTCCACCCCCAACCCAGAGACTGGTTGCAAGTCCCAGGCTTTTGTGCTTCTGACCTACTAGCTACAGGTTGAAGGTTCTCAGGATCTTCCCCTTAGGTTTGATTAATTTGCTAGAGCGATTCGCAGAAGTCAGGAAAATATTTACCTTTACCAGCTTAATAGAGGATGCCGTAGAGGATACAAGTTAACAGCCAGATGAAGAGATAGATAGGACAGGGTCCCAAATAAAGGAGCATCTGTCCTTGCTGGGCTGGGGCCTGGCTCAGTGGCACATGGAGGCATTCTGATTCCCCAAGTGTAGAAGTTCTCCAACTCAGAAGCAAGATGCAGGACAGCAGTAAACTCCTCTCAGGGACTTTTGTGAGGGCTTCATTGCATAGTCATGATTGACTAAATTATTGGCCATTGGCTTATTCAACCTCCAGCCCTGCCCTTGGGCGGGGTCCAAAAGTCTTCATTAACATGACAAGACACCCATTTCACTTTTAACACTCCGCGGTGCCTTCACAAACTGTGATTGAATACTAAATAACCTGGGAAATATGTATTTCTTATTGAGGGAGGGCAGGGACATGGGACAAGCATCATGATTAATTTTTCCTGTCTATGATTAAAAATGCCAAGATATAAATAGTATAGTAAAAATGAAAGAGTTTGTCTGAAGTCTAAGATTCCATTTTAAAAACCAGGGAGTTAAGAAGATTCCTAACATATTCTTTGCTAATCAGACAATAACCCACCCTACCTTAAGGCAGGGCAAGCAGTCCTAACTGATAATGTTCTCAGTGCTTGAGGGAAACCACCGTCTTAGAGAAGAATAAGATCAGTAAATTCCTTGTGTAAGTTTATCTTACAGAATTATCTAGAAGGCTGACTATAGATGATGACACCTCATGGAGACACATCAGGACAACACCTATCAAGCCTTTGCCCCCACTCCACTCCACCACCCTTTGCCCCATTCTAGAAAGCCTTAAAAGACAGAATCCTGTCTTTAAATGCACCTCCTCTCTGAAATTGCCCACACTCCCCTTTCTTCAAGTGTATACTTTTTTGCTTTAAATAAAGACTTCTCTGTGCTTAAATTAATTGCATTTTGTCTCTGCACTCTTCCAGCAGTAAGCATCTTTATTACTTTGCTATTTCATTCTAGTTTCTAGACTTAAGCACAAGTCTTCACTCTTTCTGTCCTACTTCAGACAAGTAGGCAGGGGCTACTGAGATCTCTGATCTGGCTTGCAAGTGACCCAGACAAAACTGCAGCTGTATGATCATGTTCTTTTAGCCTGCCTAAAAATCTCCCTTCTTTGCCTTTAAGAAGTTCTCAGAACATAATCTCACTCCATCCAGTGCTCTGCAGCTCCCCCAAATCCTAGAGTAGTAGAGACTTGGTTCCCATGCCTTGCAGATCCAAGTGGACACTGGACATCGTGACTTTAGGAATGAGCAAGGGATTCTTCCCATGCCGGGAAGTTCAATGAGCTTCTCTTTCATCTCTCTGCTCTTCCTTGCTCTCTGCTGCCTGGGCAGCAGACATTCCCTGCTACTCTTGCTTTAATGAATTCCTTCCTTACCTACACTCCTCCGACCTGCTCCAAGAATTCTTTCTAATTCAGAGTCAAGAACTCTCTGCCATCCAGGTTGAAGCTTCTCCTAGTGCTTCACCTAGTGCACAGAGGGAGACCTACCCAGATGCAGCTGCCCACAACATTATGACTCATTATATTGTAAGTGTGAACTCCCTTTTGGCTTTACCAGCCGAAACCCACCAGGATCAAGCCATAATCTGGCAAAATCAGATTTATTGATTCAAAATGAGGAAGGGAATTCTGGAGGAATCTTGATATGCTGAGCTGCAAGAGACGGGAGGGAGGCATCTTTTGCAAGCTTTGAGATCTGACTAAAGGATTTTGGGGAGGATGGCAGGGGAGTGGAAATCTGCTCTGAATTGGTTGCAGGTCTGATGTGGAATTAGGAGAAGAGGGGATTGAGTGTGGTAATAAGGCAAGGACAGTTTAGCAATTGGGTATCCAGTTTACTAAATGAAAATAGCTGTGTTTAGAGCATCACTGGCTGCTTTTTTTCTCTTTTCAGGCCAAACTGATTTCCACTCTTTAAGATCTGGCCAGGTTTTGACTCTCAAATGAATTTGTTTCTATGCTTTACTTTTGATACTAGATTTTAAAAAATAATATAAACGTACGTTTGCTTTTCAACCTCCAAAGGAATCTAATTTTATAAAGCTCCCTCCTTTGGCCAAGAATCGTGGGCCTGGAGGGGTCCTGGGGACTCCCTAGCAACAGAACTTCCTCCCTAACAACGGATCTCCTCGGAGCCCGAGCCTGGAAGAAAGCTAAGACCGGATGTTGACTCTTTCGCCGTACTAACTCACTCAAATCCGGAAGTTACGCAGGAGGAAGAGGCAGTAAAGTCGGCTTCAGACGCATGTGGGTCCTGCTCGTCATGCTCGTGTTTCTAGGTCCCAGGAAGCTGGTCCTTTAAGCTCGGTACCGGCGTAGTCAACATGGGTCGCTCGGGGAAGTTGCCCTCTGGTGTCTCGGCAAAGTTGAAGCGCTGGAAGAAAGGCCATAGCAGCGACAGCAACCCCGCCATCTGCCGCCACCGCCATGCCGCCCGCAGCCGCTTCTTCAGCCGGCCCTCAGGTAGCAGGATCGAGACCCGGGCGCGGCCGGCGGCGGCCGGGTTCTCGGAAGTTCGGACCCCAGGCATTGGGTCTTTCACTTTGTAGACCTTCCTATCTGCAGCCTAAAGGCCCCACCCTCCCTATTTAGCACGCGGAAATCGAGACCACCGTAGGGCAGTGACTTGTCTAGGGTAGCACGGATATGATTTGGGACTCTTAGCTAGAATTAACTTCGGCAGGCTCTTTGCAAAGCGCTTTCATTTCCGTTTATTTCCCAAGTCTCTGAGTGCAGTCGCCAGCCGGCATCCACCGACGCTTTGCCATCGTAACAGGGAAGCAGAAACTTTGACCTGGAGGGTTCGCTTTCTGGTTTTGAGTTCGAGAAGTAGAATGGGCTTAAGAGGCAGGCCATGTGCGGAATTCAGGCTCTTGGGGTTGGGGTCCTGGACTCGGCTGGTTTGTTTCATACCGGTGATTCTTGTTCTTTCGGCCAAAAGGAGTTTCAGGTTAAAGAGGGGGCCTTACCTTGTACCTCCGGTTTTCAGGTAAGAGCGACCTGACAGTTGATGCAGTGAAGTTGCATAATGAGCTGCAGTCGGGGTCCCTGCGCCCGGGCGGGAGCGAAGCCCCCGAGACTGCCATAGAAGAAGAGGTGGTGCCGGCTCTCACGGAGAAGTCCTCGACCACCTTCCTGAGCGGCCTCTCCGACTGCACAAACGTCACCTTCAGCAAAGTGCAGCGTTTCTGGGAGTCCAACTCGGCTGCCCACAAAGAGGTAGGAGGGATCAAGAGGGCCTGGGATAGTGTGGAGGGGCCAGACTCCCACTATTTATTTTCTTCAGCGCTGGCTGACTGCAGTGGGCTAACATCAGCTGGTATTTCTGGATGATGTGTCATCTGTCCCATCTTTTGTAATACGAGTGCGTCCCCTACTTATTACCTTTCCGAGGGCAGGTTCCACTTTCTGCTTTTTATAAAATCTCTCCTGCTCATGTGTAAAGCCCTTCAGGGTAGAAATATTTTCCAAACATTTCTCTTGTCAGCTATGCCTAACACAGAACTTCTTTTTTTTCTCCTCATAATAGTTCACAGCAGCTTTACTTGTAATAGCAAAAAAATGGAAACAACCCAGATGTCCTTGAATGAGTGACTAAACCTGTGATATATCCATAGAATATTCAGTGATAAAAAGTAATAAGCTCTTGATACATGCAAAAGCTTGGATGAATCTCCAGGGAATTTATGCCAAGTGGAAAAAAGCATTTATATAACATTTACATGACATTTATGTGATAATGGTGTTAAACAAATGATAATTATTTATTTATTGATGGTGAAACTCTAGGTGATTTGAATGTTCTGTATTATAATTTTTTATAATGAGCTTCTCTTTTTATAAAAATAACAAGTTATTACCTATTTTTTTATTAAGGTATCATTGATACACAATCTTATGAAGGTTTCACATGAGCAACATTGTGGTTACTACATTCATCCATATTATAGAGTCCCCCCCACACACCCCACCATAGTCACTGTCCACCGGTGTAGTAAGATGTCACAGAGTTATTACTTGTCTTCTCTGTGCTACACTGTCTTCCCTGTGACCCTCCCTGGACCCTGTGCAATCATAATGCCCCTCAGTCCGCTTCTCCCTCCGTCCCTACCAACCTCCCTCTCCCCTCCCCTTTGGTAACCACTAGTCCCTTCTTAGAGTCTGTGAGTCTGCTGCTGTTTTGTTCCTTCAGTTTTGCTTTGTTGTTATTCTCCACAAATGAGTGAAATCACTTGATATGTGTCTTTCTCTGCCTGGTTTATTTCACTGGACATAATATCCTCTAGCTCCATCCATGTTAACACAGAACTTTTTACATAGAGTATTTTCAAGGAACATCTGTTGGTAAATTAATGTGAAATAAATAGAAAATATTAGAAATATTGTATCTAACAAGAACTAAATTTCATTTCCTCTTATTAATACTTAAAAATTATATGCATTCATATTTCAATATTTAAATGAAAAATGTCAAATTATAAATGGTACCTGTGATGTAAGTAGAATAAAACTTGAAAACTGTTCTCTCAACTTAACTCCTTCATGGTAGTTACTGATAGCGGGACATAGTGCATCTCCCCATACTACTATATATGTCATTTTTAATTATCTAGTAGCCACACTAAAAAAGGTAAAAAGCAAGTGGAATTAGTCTTAATAATGTGTTTTATTTAATCCATATACCCAAAAGATCATTTCAACATGTAATTAATATAAAAAATAAGATGTTTTATATTAGTTGTAGCATATTACATCTTCAAAATCTAGCAGTATTTTATCCTTACCTCTCCATTTGGATGCTAAATCTTCATTAGACATACTTAATTTGTATTTTGAGTTCATAAAACTTAGTTGCAACAGTAAATTCATATACCCAATTGTTCAAAATCTGTGTTTTCCAATAATGGGATCAAGTGTTTGTTTTTAAATTTAACTAAAATTTAAAAATTAAAGATTAAGTTCCTCAGTCACACTGGCCACGTTTCAAGTACTCAATAGGCTATAATTAACATTACTGTTCTAGACTTTTTTGTATATTTTTTACCCGTGTTTTGTTAAGGTTTACTGATTATATTTCATTTACACTGTTCTGCAACTTTTTTTCCCCACTGAACAGTATTTCTAAGTTGATACCGAGTTGGTCCTCATTCTTTTCAATAGTTAAGTAGCATTTGAATCTATCATTTATTTCTTAATAATAGTACTTTATTAATCCCTTGTTGTTGGCTGCTTGGTTGTTCCAGTTTGTTGCTCTGGTGAACACACCTGTACGTAAATGTTTACAATTTTGTGCAGGTATTTCAGTAAGACATAGAGTCGTAGAGATGGGGTTTTGGCAAATATGTCTGAGTCTTCCTGTTTGCTAGGCCTTGTGGTGTATACCCTGGCTCTGAAGGCAGCTCATCTTGTCTATCACTAGGCCTTGCCAGGAGATTAATTTATTAAGGAGCAAGGAAAAGAGGCTACCCTGCGGTAGGGTTAGATCTAAAATAGATGTCACAGGTGCCTTCTCCCTCATGCGCAGATCTGTGCTGTTCTGGCTGCTGTAACCGAGGTGATTCGCTCCCAAGGAGGGAAGGAGACAGAGACTGAGTACTTTGCTGCACTGGTGAGTGGGTATGACTTGGGGGTGGGTACTCAGAGGAGCAGGTTATTCCACCTGTAGAGGGAAGGGGGTGCCCCTGACGTGTGGAAATTGGGTAGGACAACCTTGAACAGGTGAATGCTTCAGTCATTCTCAGGTGGCTTAGTAAGGCTGGTGGCATTTATTACATTGTTCTTATAAAAACCCACTACTCTGGTTCCGCCTCCCCTGCCTTTGATCCATGGAACTACCTGAGTTAGGCCCAGGGGATCCTCTAGAAAAATGGTTTTCGAAATGTGGTCTGGGGTTCCCAAGGTCCTAGATCAAACTTATTTCCATAATAATACTAGCACATCATTTACCTTTTTCACTCTTGTGGCCTCATGAGCACACCATGGAGTTTTCCAAAAGTAACATGATGTCTGATGACATTATTTTGACAGTTAATGGACTTGTGCTTGTATATTTTTATATTTGAAAATTTTCTCACTTTTAATTTTTATGGCACACATTTATGGTAAGTACCAGTAGATATAACCTATGTAAACAAAACCTCTCTGGGGAATCCTCAAACAATTTTAAGGGTGTAAGAGTTTGAGAAGCACTTCTTTAGAACAGGGGTTGGCAGACTACAGCCCATGGGCATAACTGACCCAAGGCCTGTAACAGCCTGAGAGCTAAGGATGGCTTTTACATTTTTAAAGGATAATATGCAGTGCAGGAGAATATGCAACAGTGACCATATGTAGCCTGCAAAGCCTAAAATATTTATTACTTGGCCCTTTCCAGAAAAAGTTTTCAAACCTCTGATCTAGAATAATGAAGTAAATTAGATGGCAACATACTGACTGTTTTTGTCATGTGCCAGACACTAAGTGTTTCACATATATTAATTCAGTTAAACTCCACAACCATTTATCCCTATTTTATAAATGAGGAAACTGAATCATAGAAAGGTTAAGTTGCTAGTCCAAAGTCACACAGTGGCAGAGTTGGGATTTGAACCTCTGACAGGAGGGTTCTTAGTCATGAGTACTGTGCTGTGCACATGGTGCCCCCAGACTCCATTTTCCCATATGACACATTTCCCATCCACACCCTGTGATGTGGTCCTCAGATGACAACAATGGAAGCGGTGGAATCCCCAGAGTCTCTGGCTGCTGTTGCTTACCTGCTGAACCTTGTCCTGAAGCGGTGAGTCCTGGCTGCTCTCTGAACCCCAAATCTTTTTGTAGAGGGGAGAATCTCTCTACAGAATCTACAGATGGATGGGAGCACCAGGACCTGGACTTGTTAAAAAGAACAGGAGGATACTTATGTATCAGGTGGCATTCTTCATTATCAGGCTTCCAGGGTGGCTTGGGATGTTAGGGGACAGGGTGTGAGTGCTGGTGCCTGGGAGGGAGCAGGCCTGGTGCAGTGAGTGGGCAGGAGAGTGGGGAGGAATGTAGGTGCCAGGATCCCTGGAGGCCTGCAGTCAGCTGGGAAGTAGGTAGAGGGTGGATTGGGGTGAGCTTCTAAGGGCCCATCTCTAGGCAGTACAGAGAATGGGCAGAGGAGAACAGGGAGGTGGGGAGCTCGGGTGCCATGGCAGGGACACTTGAACTGGGTGTCACGAGGGTGAGCTTCTGTCCTGACCATTGCTCACTCACTGAGTGAGTGACTGGGCCAGCACTGCCTCCCTCTGTCCAGCTCCCTCCTTCAGACCAGGGCCAGGGCTGCCCCAGCCGCTCTAGGAGACCCCTCGGGTTCCGACCTTCTCTGTTCTCTCCCCACAGCGTACCCAGCCCTGTGCTCATCAGGAAGTTTTCTGATACCTCCAAAGCCTTCATGGATATCATGTCAGCCCAGGCCAGCATTGGTTCTACCTCTGCCCTCCGATGGGTTAGTGTTTTGTCTTTGTGCCATCTTCCAGAGCCCATCTGATTTGGTTGAAGCTTGTATGCTCCCTCGGAGGCGCTTAGGCACTCTGTGGACCTTCAGACAGATCCTTCGGGATTTTCTGGAGTCATTGAGAACCTGGGCTCTTTTTCCACCTGGCTGAGAGACTCTGACTCTTGTCTCAAGGTCCTGTCCTGCCTGGCCACCCTTCTGCGGAAGCAGGACCTGGAGGCCTGGAGCTACCCTGTGACCTTGCAGGTGTACCACGGGCTGCTGAGCTTCACTGTGCATGCCAAGCCCAAGGTGAGGCTGCTGGGCCCCCTGAATATGGGAGGGGCCAGCCACTCCAGTAGGCTGGGCTGGCCGGGCTGCCCGGGTGGGCTGAGGGGGCTGCCCTGAGTACTAGACTTGCCCAGAGCTGCTTCCTGCCCCTGAGGCCTCAGGTGCTTAGCTCTAGACAGGTAGGAGGTTCCCTGTCAGGCCTTGCCCAGTCTCTGCTGCCTCCTTAGTCAGGGCCTCATTAGTTTAGCTACAGTGGCAGGAGGGTGGGAGGGGAGATAGGGCAGCGCTTTGGAGTCTCATAGACCTCAAGTGGATTCTGGATTCACTGCTTATACTGTGACTTTGGGCAAGTTACTTGGTTTAGCTGTAAAAGAGGAATAATAATACCAAACTTACTGCAAGTGGGTGGGGAGACTTCAGTGTTCTTCATAAGCCTGGTGCAGTTCCTGGCTTATAGCAGGTGCTCAGTAAATAGTGGTGGGCCACTCCTGTTTCCTCCTGAAATTGAGAGCGGGAGCACAGAATAGTGCTCATGTCATAGGAGTCCATGTGTGCTAAGTGCTTTTCTCCCTGGTGGGCTCCGCCTCCTTCCCTGTGTATTCATGTGGTCTTCCCCTCACTTTCTTCAGGTGTCTGCTGAAATGTCACTTCACTGGAGTGACTTCCCTGAGCACCGTATAAAAAGTAGCAACCCCCGCTTTATTATCTGCAAAGTTCTTTTGCCTTTTGGCGCACATTTGTTTATTTTCTGCCTCCTAAGTATCATGTGAGTCATTTGCTCTGTTTGTTGCCGAATTGGCAGCACCAAGAATAGTGACTGACTTGATGGGCACTTGGTATTTATTGCTGGGTGGGTGACTGAGTGAACGACTGAATCCCTGCTGTAAAGATGAGAACGTGGAAACTTAGAGATTCAGTAGTTGACTTGCTGAAGGCTGTTGGGTGAGTTAGGAGAGCAGGGTTGGAGCTGAGGTTTATCTTACTCCTCAGCTCCGCAGTCTGTACACACACAGCCCTTTCCCTACTCTCCTTGCCCCTCAGATCCGGAAGGCTGCCCAGCATGGAGTGTGCTCTGTCCTCAAGGGCAGTGAATTCATGTTTAGTGAAAAGACCCCTGCCCATCACCCTGCTGCCATTTCCACTGCCAAGTTCTGCATCCAGGAGATTGAGAAATCTGGAGGTAGGGAGCCAGGTGGAGGGCAGGGTGGGTGGGGGCAGAAGCCAGTGGGGGAGGGCAGGGCTGCTGAGTGTGGGCTGGAGTCTCAGCTCCCTTCTTTCTGCCAGGCTCCAAAGAGGCCACTACCACACTGCACCTGCTGACGCTGCTGCAGGACCTGCTGCCCTGCTTCCCGGAAGGCCTGGTGAAGAGCTGCAGTGAGACTCTCCTCAGGGTCATGACCTTGAGCCATGTGGTGAGCTCAGGCCTGAGAGCCAGCAGGCGGGGACATGCCACGGGTGGGGACACGCAGCTTCAGACCCAGGCCCACAGTGCTGGTGCTCGGGGCCCGGGGCCTCCCTGCCCCAACCCTGCTGGTGCTACAACCAAGGACGCCATCTCCTCCTGGTGCCGGCTAGACAGGGCCATCTGGTCCAGCGAGGGCCTGGCCTCAGAGGTCGGGGCAGAGTGAGGGTGGCACCGTGAGGGCTGGCAAAGCATCAGTCCTCTCCCAGCCTGGAGCTCCACTCCAGCCACGGCGGCAGTTCTTTTTTCTTCTTTTGCCCACTAGCAAATCAGTGTAGTGACCTCAAAGGTACATAAAAACAATCCTGTCCATTTCTGCCATCCTAGCACAATTCTCTTCATCTTTATATATTCTCTTCTTGTGTTTGTTCACATACATATTTTTAAATATTTATTATGTAAATAACACTCCCACTGTTTAAAAGGAAAAAAGCCACTTAAAACAACTTGCTGTGTATCCTTTCAGAAGTTTTCTCATTGGATAAACATACATAAAAACATGTGAACATACAGCCATAATTATAGTATACAAACAATTTATAATGTGCTTTTTTAGCTCTTTATATTAAAAACATTTTGTTCGTGTTTCTCCACTGTCTTTATTTGAATCATTAAAAAATTTTTTGGTGACTGCCAAGATTTACTAAAGTGACAGTCCTCTCTGTGTCCGGGTATGGGGAGCATGTCTGAAGTCAGGGGCCCAGGTCTCCTCACTAGCCCACTGGTAGGCCAGTGGGAGGTTGAGGAGCCCTGTACAGCCCTGGGCTTTGTGGCTCCCTACTAAGCCTGTGTGTCCTCTCCAGTTGGTGACAGCCTGTGCCATGCAGGCCTTTCACAGCCTTTTCCATGCCAAGCCTGGCCCAGGTACCCTGTCAGCAGAGCTCAATGCCCAGATCATCACGGTGAGGCCTGGTGGTGGGGGGTAAGGGAGGGTCAGTGAAGTGGGGGGCACTGTTACTTGATTACAGAGTGAGGTGGAATGGACCAGGCTGGGCTGCCACAGTGGAGGCGGCCAGTAGGTAGGCCAAAAGGAGGTGGGCAGCTGGGAGACTGGCCACCAAAGCTACTTCAGTGTCCATGGAAGCTGGGGACCCTGATTCTTGACCTAGTGGTAGTTAAACTATTTCATCATAGTCTCATGGTGTTAACAGATACCTTGAGCAGTGGCTGTCAACTTTAGGGATCCTTCGATGGATCTGGGGGAAAGGAACATAAATGCTTCCCAAAATTGTTTGCAAAATGTGTGTGTTTGTGCCCATGTGCATTTTTCCAGAGAAGGGTTCCATGGCCTTTGTCAGGTTCACAAAGGGTCATGTGACCCAAGTTTTACTTGACTGCTTCTAGAGACTCTTCTCCCATAAAAACAGACTGGAAGAGGCTTCATGGAGTTTGGAAAGGCAGGAGCTGGGAAGGCTAAGGGGCTGTGAGTTCTGGGGCTGCGTGTGCAGCCCTGTCACTGAACATGCTGGTGTCGGGATGGAGAGAGGTCATTGTCGTTAGGCTACTGCTGAATGCACTTGCTTCACCTTCCTCTTCCCTGTCCTGCTTCTAGGCCTTATATGACTATGTTCCCAGCGAGAATGACTTACAGCCCCTGCTGGCCTGGCTTAAGGTCATGGAGAAAGCCCACATCAACCTGGTCAGGTAGGGACATTGCAGAGGATGTCCCAGGTCCTCCAGCCAGGCTACCTGTTCTGCAGTGCAGATGAGAGGGACAGGAACCAGGAGCTGGAGAGAGGGTGGCAGCATTTCTCTGTCAAGCGTGCTGAAGACCAGCTCTGCTGTTCATGGAGGATGGAGCAAGATCCTACAGCCTCCATTAGCCAGGCCAATGCCTTTCTTGCCAGAGCATTTACCAGCCAGCTGTGTGGGGTGACAAGACATGCTGAGAGCACCACACCCGGGCTGGGGCCCAAGTTCCAACCTGATTCGTGTCACCCCCTGGCTGTCGTCTTGTGCAATTGGTTTCCTTCTCAGGACATCCCCTCTCTGTGGCTCCGCGCCGCGCCCCCCTGGGTTAATGGTTCCCTTGGGGAGTCATAGTCTCGCAAACTCAGTTTCTGCTTTGTGTCTCTGTTGTAACACTCATAGTTGAGCTTGACCACTTAATAGTGGTTGCTTGATAATTCCACTTTTCCAGAATAAGCCTGAGAAGAAAATAAGTATATCAGTTGTGACTTGCATTTAGCCTGAACCAAGGGTCTCCAAGGCTGCCCAGGCTCCACCACACAACGTCTGTCCTCCCCCCACGGAAGGGTTCCCCTTGGCCTGCTCTCTCTCAGGCACTGGGCTGAGTGCTTTGCTGCTTTTCATCCCACTGATCACAACCACCGCATGAGGAAGGTCCTGGCCCATTCTGAAAATGTGTTAGCTGGTCAGGCAGCTGCCATGGAGCAAAGCCAGATCTCCAGCCTGTATCTGCCAGACACATGTCCTTTTTTCTGCACTGTCCACCTTTTTTCTGGAGGTGCTGGAAAATGGCAAAATAACCTCATTCCCTACTTCTCAGGATTTACTACATAGGAGGGCTGTCGCTGTCACAGCTGTGCCACAGTCCGTGTCCCAGGATGTTTGTTGTAGCACTATAGATAATGGCAAAAAACAAAAAAAAACTAGAAACAGCCCAGGAGGGGAATAGTTAAATACAAACAGTGAAATATTACACAGCTGTTAGAAATTAGTAAGTTAGCTGTTAGAAATTAGATGTGTGCACACTGATATGGAAAGACTTCTAAGATATACTGAGAAAAACGTAAGGTACAGAATAGGATAGATGGTGTGATTATTTGCCTATTATGGAGCCAAACTACCAGGGTGTGAATTCTGGACACACCCACACCCCCTCTGGGTGGGCAAAAATTACCTGACTTTTCTGTGCCTCAGTTCCTCATTGATAAAATGGGAATTGTAATGGAAGTTAATCCCAGTTTAAATGAGTTAATGCGTGTTATATCAGTGCTTGGAATATGATAAGTATTACATAAATGCTAGCAAATGTTATTTTATATGTGTGTAAAAACTTATGGAACAGTATTTGAGAAACTTAATCTTGATTTTCCTCTGGGAAGTGCATCCGAGGGTCAGCCTGGGAGAAAGTTGTAGGGAAGGCATGCTCTTCATTTTATAGTCTGAAGACATGTATGAATTTTTTGCCACACATAGCTATTACTTAAACAACAGCACTTTAAAAAAATTGCCACCAGAAGGGCCTTGTAGAGCCCTGCAGATCAGTGACCATTGCCAGACCTGGGCCACCTGGGTTCCCAAGGGCCAAGCCCTGGCACCATCAAAGTCTTTTATATTGACAGGCTGCAGTGGGACCTGGGGCTGGGCCACTTCCCTCGCTTTTTTGGAACTGCGATGACCTGCCTTCTGTCTGCCCACTCGCAGGTGGTGACAGCTGCCACTCAGAGCCTCCAGGTATGCAGAACTCCCAGCTTTAGTGGGGGAAGCAGAGAGTGCATGAGGTTATGCTGGCTGCCCTGTCTCCCAGAACTTGCTCCAGACCTCCAGCTGTGTTCTAGGGATGGGGATGGGCTTCTTAGAAGCTTCAGGAAGCAGTTACCTGGGAGGGCTGAGTGGCACTGGGGGGCCATCTTGTGCCCAAACAGCCATGGCCTCTTTTTGCAGGAGATTCTGAAGGAAGGTGTGACTCCTCACATGGCCAGCATTGGCTCCGTGACCTTCTCGGCCTCAGGCCCTGCCCAGTACATTGCCAAGATGTTCAGGTAAGACTGTAGCATCTGAAATAGGAAGGGATAAAGTGTACCTTCTTGAAAGTTCCTTGTAATGACAGAGGCCCCTCTCACTTTCACTGCCAGAGCAGCAGCTGTCAGTTTGAGTGCTGGCCCCACGTAGGTGCCATCACGTGGTGCTCATGAGCATGGACTCTGGGACATTTCCTCCACCTCTTGGTCCCTCAGGGTCCTCATCAGAGTTGCTAACAGAGATAAGGATTAAATGAGGTGATGTGTACAGTTCTCAGACAGTGTCTGGCACATAGTAAAGCACTCAGTAGAAACTGCTGATGGTCCTTAGGGTCGGTCCTTGGAGATAGATACTGACCTTCATTTTACCAGTGCACAAGCTGAGGTCACCAACTAGAAAGTGACAGCCTGACCACACAGTCCGCCCTTGCTCATGTGCTGTGCTGCCTCAATGCTTAGGCGAGAATCCATGCAGATATGGGCACTGACCACCCTCGCCTCCCAGCAGGCAGTGAGGTGCCTCAGAGCACCAAGCACACAGGTGTCCCAAGAAAAGGGCGGGGATCCTTTGTGTTTCTCCCTGGTCTGTCAGCTCCAGGTGTGGCGCTTGGGGCATGGCTCTCGTGAGGAAATAGGCCTGTTTCCTGTGACTAGATCTGGGATGAACAATTTAGGAACAGAGCTGCCCTACCCCTAGCTCACCTCTTTTCCCACTCTCACCCCTGTTGGCCTTTTTTGCCTAAAATCTCTAGGGGTTTACACTGGGAGGTGGAGCCCACCAAGGGTGCATAGGCTGGAGGGGCCAGCAGCTAGCCAGCCCAGCCCACAAGCTGCAACTTTCTGCCACTTCCCAGACCACCTGTTGCTACCCTGCCATTCCATCTCAGGTCAGACTGAGGAAGCAGGGACGGTGACAAAGCTCGGGCTTTGCAAGCCCAGATTAGCCATTAGCAGGGTGACTGTGGCAGGTTATTTCATCTCTCTGAGCCTCCTTTTCCCTGTCTGAAGATGAAACAAATAGCCTACCTCATAGATTTTTCTTTAAACGCCAGGATCACATAAATTAAACTCCTAGCACAGGGGACATTTTGTAGGTACTAGTTCTTCCTCCTCGGCCTTTCCTGGGCCCCACCTTTCCTGACCAGTCATGGACTTCCTGGTTGGGGCCCTGGTGAGCATGACCATGGCCCTGACTGCCTGCTCTCTTGACAGGGCAGTGGAGGAGGGCCTGACATACAAATTCCATGCAGCGTGGAGCTCCGTGCTGCAGCTGCTGTGTGTCTTCTTCAAGGCATGTGGGAGGCAGGCTCATCCTGTGATGAAGAAGGTGAGCTTTGGAGCTGCTGGGCCAGGGAAGGAGGTGGTGCTGTTGGACTGTGGGCTCCTCACGGGCCTGTGCATTATCTCTGCACTTTACTCCCCCTCCCCCAGGACTGTGTGCCCAGGAAGGTCACTGGGCCAATGTGGGAGAAACAAGAAGAGGGGCAGGCCCTCTCCCCTCTACCTGCTCACTAGTCCTGGTTGAAGTTGATGGTTTTGAATAGGGAACCAGTGTGATTCTTTCACTCCTGTTTTCTTTGAATTTCTAATTCTCTTCATTTTCTGTAATGAGTGATTACAGTATTTTAAGCAACCCTAGATTCCAGAGAGGTTTCTATAGCCCAGAGTACATTTAAGGATCAGGGATCAGCTAGGGGTCCTCCCCAGCTCTGGGAGAGGGCGGGGGCCTGAGGACGGGCCGCAGACCCCTGCATCTGCAGGTGGGGCAGCTCCCAGTGTCACGCGGCCCTTTCCGTGTACTGTCCCCATGGCTGGTTGGATGAAAGGAGCCAGCCTTCCTCCAGAAGCCTGGCCTGGGCCCTAATAGATTAGGTTGGCAAACTTGGCTTCCTGTGAGAGTCTAGACAGTTCTGAGGAGTGAGATTCTCCGTGGGGCTCTGCAGGGCTGTGGTGAACCAGAGGGTGACAGCTCTCAAGAAGCAACCGCTCCTCAGTGCCTTCTAATTTGCTAATTGTTCTGTGTGAGTCTGCCTTTGCCAGACCTTTCTTCCCATTTTTCAAGATAAACGAAATCTACATTTGTATATAAAATTTTCTTATTTTTTACATGTTATTAATGAATACAAAATTTTTAAAATTCCTGGGGCATTGGGGGAGGGGTCAAACACATCAGTTGTTTAAATTTGGTTATCGGTTTGTGACCTCTGACCTAGAGTGTGTCGCCTGGGTCCTTGCTCTTGGCCTCATCCTCTTGGAGAGAACTCAGCTGTGGTGCCTGCCCTGGGAGCACATCTCAATGTATAATCTCTTAATCTCTCTCTCTCTCTGCTCCAGTGCCTCCAGTCCCTGTGTGACCTGCGGCTCTCCCCGCACTTCCCCCACACAGCAGCTCTAGACCAGGCTGTGGGGGCCGCGGTGGCCAGCATGGGACCCGAGGTGATTTTAGGGGCTGTGCCTCTGGAAATTGACGGCTCTGAGTAAGTGTGACCCTGCTTGGCTTCCCTGTGAGCCCCAGGAGAGCAAACAGCTTGCTTTTCCTCAGGGGGGGCGTCTCTGCCTTGGGGCAACTTTCCCTATGCCATGTGGCAATCAGCGGGAGAGGCCAGAGTGGGGGATGCACTTCTGGGTGTGCTGCCCTCCAAGCCACCATCTCTTCCCCACCGGGCCCTCCCTACCTTCTCCCAGAGAGACTCTGGATTTCCCACGGAGCTGGCTGCTGCCCGTCATCCGGGACCATGTCCGGGAAACACGACTTGGTTTCTTCACTACCTACTTCTTGCCCCTGGCTACCACTCTGAAGAGCAAAGGTATGGGCCCCACTTCAGCCCTGGAACCTGAGCTGGAAGGTCTCCTCATGCAGCACCCCCAGTCCTAGGGCATTCAGCAGTGTCCCCCTGCTCTGAGGCTTGGCGAGGCATTCAGTACCCTGCTTCCCTGCCCCATTATAGGACCCTGCCCTGTGGCAGGCAGACATTGGCCGCCTCTCCCAGTAGGGACATAATTAGACCAGTTTGAAGTATTTGGGGCATAAGTACACACCAGTTTATATCTATGCAGAGATGTTCTTAGCAAAAAGTCTGACACAGCTTACATGTCCCTCAGTTGGGTCCTCGTGAAGTCCATGATGGTAAAACCCCACTATGGACATGTTGTGGTCATCGTGAAGAAAGAAAGTGGGCCTGTTTAGTAGATGGTGAGTTGAACAGATTAGATTCAGATCTCAGCTTAGCCACTCCACATTTTGGAAACATTGGGCAAGTTTATTCAACTCTGGGTCTATTTCTCATCTGTAAAAGGGGGGTGATAATTGTGACATTGTGAAGGTTAAATGAAATAATCACATAAGTGAACATTACACAGGCTGCCGTGTAGAAATTGCTCAAAAAGTGTCACCAACTTTGTCAAGTAAAACAAGGTTTCAGAACAAGGTTTTAGAACAGTATAAAATACTACTTATGTTTTCAAAAGTCTGCATGTGTTTAAAAAAATAGAAGAAACTGGCTATCCATTGGGAGCAAGATTGTGGGGAGGCATCCTCTGTTTTATAGTCTTACAGTTTTTCAGAATGAACAAATACTTCAGTTTATGGGGAGGGGTAGTCACCCAATTCCTATCATCATTGGACTGTTGGTTTTGGTAAAAATCAGGCCTGCTGGGCTAGGAGGGTGCCCAGGGTCATGCTGTGTCCTTGTGTCACACTCCAGCAATGGACCTGGCCCAGGCGGGTAGCACAGTGGAGTCTAAGATCTATGACACACTCCAGTGGCAGGTAAGGGGTCAATTGGTGGGATGGGGTTGGCTAGTGCGGGGTCATGAGTTGCTGGGCGTCACTCTCCTTTACTGTCCCCTCACTCCCCAGATCTGGACCCTCCTGCCTGGGTTCTGCACAAAGCCCACAGATGTGGCTGCGTCCTTCAGAGGGCTGGCACGGACACTGGGCACAGCTATCAGCGAGCGCCCAGACTTGAGGGTCACTGTGTGCCAGGCCCTTCGCACCCTTATTGCCAAGGGCTGTGAGGCAGGTGCGTGTGGCCTCTGGCTTGGGGGGCTGCTAGGATGATGGCTGCAACAGCATGGGTCCTGACCCCCTGCCGTGGCCTGTTGTGGCTCACTGCCTGAACTATAGCTTATCCTCTGCAAGGGCCTGAGGCCTCTGAGGGGACCTCAGGAGTTAGTAGGACACTGAAAACTACCCCTTTGCTCTTTGCTTCAGTGTGCTGACAGATGCTAAGGGTTACCCGGTCAGTGTTAAAGGCTGACACTTGGTTGACCCCCCAGGTCAGGAGCCATGGGGAAGCACAGACCATGGTGGCACTTAGTTCTCGGTAATCTGCCCTCATTGACTCCTGTTCCCCAGAAGTCCCGAGCCCGTGACTCCAGGTCCTGTCATGGGTCCTCCAAAATGATGCCTCTGGGCTGCAGCCCTAGTAGCCTTTGAGGTGGGGTCAACTCCTGCCCCTTTCATGCGAACTTTGGTCCTCCTGCCAGAGGCCGACCGTGCCGAAGTGAGCCGCTTTGCCAAGAACTTTCTGCCCATCCTCTTCAACCTGTATGGGCAGCCTGTTGCAGCTGGAGACACCCCAGCCCCTCGCCGGCCTGTGCTAGAAACCATCAAAGCTTACCTCACCATTACTGACCCGCAGGTGAGCTGGCGGAAGGCAGGGAGGAATACTCTGAGGTGGGTGAGTGTTGGGTTATGTTTGTTGGGAAGGCCGTACTCACCAGGGCTCACCTGGGCCTCTGTCGCCTGGGGAACAGGGGACCGGATACCAGTGTGGCTGGTTGGCCTGAGCTGGGCTGGAGGCTTCCAAATGGTGGGCAGGAGGGAAGAGGGTGTTGATTCTGTGACCCACTGCTCATCTGTATTTCTTCATCAACTCCCTCCTTCTCATCCCATGGTGGCTGCCAGTTGGTGAATGGTTTCCTGGAAAAAGCCAGTGAGAAGGTGCTCGACCCTGCTAGTTCTGCCTTTACCAGGTAAAAGGCTTCACTAGAGCTGGGGCAGCCCAGGGAGCTAGAAGACATGTCTAGCAGAAGCCCTGTGGAATCTCTCTAGAATTATTTAGGAAAGTCTTGAGATAGTGAATGTTCTTGCTCTACCATGAGGTCTGACTGGCTCTGTCTTCCTGGAGAGGCATTACACCTGGCTAGGGAAGGATGAGAACCTCGGAAACACACTGCCTGGGTTCAAATCCCAGCTCCATCACTTACCAGCTGTGTGACTTTGGACAGTTCCTTAGCTCCTTTGTGCCTCTATGTCCTCATGGGTAAAACGGGCTTGGTGATGATAGTATCTGTAACAGGGCCGCTGTGAGGATTGAAGGGGTTAACACATTAGGCACCTGGAACAGTGTGTGTTACCTTATGAGTGCTAACTTAGATGCAAGCAGTGATTATTCACTGGCTCCTTGGAGGCACCTTGTTCTGCTCACTCTGACTTCTCTTGCCTCCCTGGAACACAGTAGACATAAGCACTGGTAGTCTGCGCCCTGCTCTACGCCCCACTAAGCCCCTCCTTGGTCTCCTGCCTCTGAGCAGATTGTCTGTCCTGGACCTGGTGGTGGCCCTGGCTCCTCACGCTGATGAAGCCGCCATCAGCAAGCTGTACTCCACCATCCGACCGTACCTGGAGGTGAGCCGTGGAGCCTGCAAGTCCCACATGACCACACTCGGAAAGACGGGGGCTGCTTAAAAAGGCAGGAGCATTTCCATCCCTTGCTGCTGCCCAGGATCAGGTCCCCATCTGCTTTCTTGTGGAGTGGCTGCCTTTGTGCTCTGTTTAGAATGTATGTAGGTGTGGCCAGGCAAAACTCAGGCCCTAGTGACCTCGGGAAAGCTGCCACTATGGCAGCAGTGTAATAGGCAGTTTCCCAACAGTGTGAGGAGTATACGGGGTGGAAGATGCAGGTGGACACTGAAGTCCAGGGCAGGGCTGCTGACCTCAGGAGAGGTGCCCTGGATGCAGTGACAGAGTGCTCCTTTGCAACAGCAAGGAGTTAGGTAAGGAAGGAGAGAGGAGAGTGCTCCAGCTAGAGAGAGAGGCATGCAGGCCTTGATGCATCCCAGGCACTGGAGTTTATAGTGTGCGGTGAGCGTTACTGAGGGGGTGAGTGTAGTGAGGCAAGGCTGACTTGATCTCACTCCCTGCAGCATCCCTTGCCTGGCACGGTTAGCCTCTCACTGTCCAGACTCCACCAGCCTTCTTGTCAGACCACATGGGCTGCAGGAGGGGGGCCGCTTCTCTGAATCCCCTCCAGGGCTGGCCATTGTGAATGTTGCTGGACAGGAGGAGGGTAGTGAATGGATGGACAGGTGGAGGACCTTCAGCCCGCCTTCCTCACCCATCCCCACTCACCACGTAATCTCCCAGAGCAAGGCCCATGGGGTACAGAAAAAGGCCTACCGTGTGCTGGAGGAGGTGTGCGCCAGCCCGCAGGGCCCTGGAGCCCGCTTCGTGCAGAGCCACCTGGAGGACCTAAAGATGACCTTACTGGACTCGCTGCGGAGCACTTCCTCACCTGCCAAGAGGGTGAGGACTCCAGGGCTGCCCCTCCCAGGGCAGGGTGGGCACCCCCAGGAGAGGACCACCATGGGAGCAGTGGGTGGCATTGCGGGGTTCTGACTGATGCTCCCTCCTTGGCCCACAGCCCCGTTTGAAGTGCCTCATACATATTGTGAAGAAGCTCTCAGCTGAGCACGAGGAGTTCATCACTGCGCTTGTCCCAGAGGTGAGGGGTGCAGAGTGAGGAATATCTGGGTTTTGAGGGGTTCCTTGGAGTGTGGCTCCTGAGGGCCTGTCCTGATTGGGGGAGGGCAGTACTGGGGGCAGGAGTGGTCCCATTCTCTGCCTAGGGGTGGTGGGTGCCCTTACCTGCCTCCTGCCTCAGGCCATCAACCCCAGGGTGGCCGGTTCAGGAATATGTGCCCATGGGGCCGTCTGGGCAGGTGATCCTGTGTACCAAGGAGGTGTCCGTGGGCGCTCGGAAGAACGCTTTTGCCCTGCTCGTGGAGATGGGCCGTGCTTTCCTTCGGTTTGGCCCGAACCAGGAAGGTGAGTCCTGGATGACATGGGACTGGGGAGGAAGCTATGCTCACAGGCCTAGGGAAGGCACCCCTCAAAACCACTGGTGAAAGAAAAGGTAGGGAGAGCTGCCTGGCTCTGCACCTGGGCAGGCTGCTCCTCAGGCGGGGAATCCCCCTACCTGGTGGGCCCCAGATGCAGTGTGCAGCCTGTGCCCTGGTGCCACTTGTCCTGGTCTCTGCCCTCCCAGAAGCCCTACAGCGCTACCTCGTCCTGATCTATCCCGGCCTGGTGGGTGCTGTGACCATGGTCAGCTGCAGCATCCTGGCCCTGACCCACCTCCTTTTTGAGTTTAAAGGTAAATGCTGCTTCTTGGAAGGAAACCCTCAGGGTAGGAAAATGCCTAGAAGGTCAGGACAGAGAAGCTACCATACCAGAATGGGGAAATTTCCTATGGGGGAGGAAGAGCTGAAACCAAGCCCAGCTGCCTCCCCCCTCCAACTGCTACTCAGCTTGGCCTTCCTCCCTCCCCACAGCTGCCCTGTGTTCTGCCATTGAGTGTATCAGAGTGGCGGTTAGGTCCCACATGCCCAGATGTTAGTCCTGGTTCTGCCACTTAGTAACCACATGAAACCTAGAGTAAGTTTACAAACCTATTGGAACCTCACTCTCTTCCCTCTAAGTGGTGGAGAAAAATAGCACCTCCTCACAGGGTGGCAAAAGGTCAAAAGGACACCACCATGCAAAATGAGTAGGACTGTGCCAGGCACACACAAGTCCCCCAAGCGTTAGCTCCTACTCTTGTAACCTAGCAGGGATCTCGGGTCTGGCTGCGGTTCTGGTGTCTCTGACAGTGGCCCTCTGGTCACCACAGGTCTAATGGGGACCAGCACAGTGGAACAGCTGCTGGAGAATGTGTGCCTGCTCCTGGCCTCCCGCACCCGCGATGTGGTCAAATCAGCGCTGGGCTTCATCAAGGTGGCTGTGGTTGTCATGGACGTGTCACACCTGGCCAAGCAGGTGCAGCTGGTGGTGAGTGTTCCTCTTCTCCCTCCCCCAGCATGGTCTCTGAGCAATAGGCGTGAACCCAGTGAGCCAGCAAATTTAAAACGGTTTAGCTAGCTGCTTCCTTACAGAACAGAAGGTCATGCAGGGGCCCTGGGAGAGACCAGCAGGGGAATGGCAGCCTGGTGGGGGCGAGGAAGGGGCGCAGTGCTGCCCCTTGTCACCCCCCATCCCACAGCCCCTCCATGGAGGCAAGGGCTCTGCAGGGCAAAATCAGTTCTCAGGTTTTTACAAATGGGGAAACTAAGACCAGAGATATCCCCCTGTCATAGTGCTGGTGAGAGCAACGCTGGGAACAGAACCCAAAGCTCAGGACTGAGACTCTGCGCTCTTCCCCAGCAGGGCCCCCATGTCGCCTGTTTTTTCTTCTCTTACATTTTGACATCCAGTGTTTGAGGAGTCTCCTTCCGATGCCCCTGCTGGGCTGTAGAAGGGCTCGAAGAGCCCTCTGTTGTTGGGTCCCTGGCCCCTTCCAGCTGGGTATAATGTGGACAGTAAGCTGGGACTAACCAAACCCTCTGTCCACTGCATCTACTGCCTCAGTTTCCCATGTGCAGCTGGATTGATTCACAGTCAGAACTCCAGGTCTGTCCTTTGCCTTTTGTCTTCATATCTGGCCTTGGGTCAAGGCAAGAAAGGGCAGATGGTAATTAGGATAGCCTGCCACCACCCTCCAAAGCCTGTAGCCTGACTGGGGAACAAAGATGAGGAGTAGCCTGACTGGGGAACAAAGATGAGGAGAAGGGCTAGAGCAGTGAACTATCACTGGTTCTGAGAACTTGTAAAAGCCCTTCAAAGGATTGATGGCCCTAACCCCTGGCCCCGTCAAGAGGCACTGCAGGATATGAGATCTGCCCCCAGAGACACATGGGTCCCCCGAGGCTGGATGAAGGCTTGAGAACAAACAGTACAGCCTAAGATAAGCACAGGGCAGTAGAAAGGACATGAACCAAGAGAAACCTGGCAGTGTGGGGGGCAGAGTGTACACCCTGGACTTAGACCTAGGGTAACTCCTATCTCTGTGGCCACTTAGCAGCCACTTAACTCTTCTTCAGTTTCCTTGTCTATAATAAATTGGGGATGATGATAGAATCTGCCTGACTGGGTTGTTTTAAGGATTCAGTGAGATAATGCATATAAGGTGCCAAGTACATTCACATTACTCTAAAGCTGTCATCTTGGTGTGGTGCTTGGGATTGTCACAAAGGAGGGTTTAGGGGAAAGATGGGAGGGTGTCCAGACTGGAAGCGTGACTGGACCAAGGGGTGGGACAGGAGCAGCGCTACTGCAGGGCCTGATTGTTTTTGTCCCTGGTCTGGACAGCAGTCAAAGGGCAGACAGGGTTGGGGCACCCCTGAAACCTTGGTGCTCTGCCTGGCAGATGGAAGCCATCGGGAAGCTTTCAGATGATATGCGGCGGCACTTCCGCATGAAGCTTCGGAACCTGTTCACCAAGTTCATCCGCAAGTTTGGGTCTGTGCACTGAATGCAGAGGAGCAGGGGAGGAGATTAGGGTTTCCAGTACCCCAAGGGAGCCTGCAGAGAAGGGGCTTGGCTGGGCTGGAAGGGCTCTGGCCAACCCTCCTAACCGTGGTTAGTGCTCTCTGGCCAGTGCGCCTCACCAGCCCTCCGTTCCCCTCAGGTTTGAGCTGGTGAAGGGGCTGCTGCCTGAGGAGTACCACAAAGTCCTGCTTAACATCCGGAAAGCTGAGGCCCGGGCCAAGAGGCACCGCGTTCTGAACCAGGCTGCCATGGAAGAGGAGGAGGAGGAAGAGGAAGAGCCCACCCAGGGCAAAGGTGATAGGTGAGCCTCTTGGCGGGGTCCTGGAGGCCTGGTCTCCCCAAATCCCAGAAGAGGCAGGGGCAGTGCTAGCAGCCCTGCCTCTCCTGGGAACACCCTGACGTGGGGCTTCCCTGTCCTTAGCATTGAGGAGATTTTGGCCGACTCAGAGGATGAGGACAATGAGGAAGAAGAAAGGAGCCAGGCTAAGGAGCAACGGAGGCTGACCCGACAAAGGAGCCGGGTGTGGCTGAAGGACGGTGGAGGGGATGAGCCCCTCAACTTCCTGGACCCTAGGGTGGTCCAGCGAGTTCTAGGTGAGCAAGAAGCAACTGGCCCAGGAGCTCAGAAAACAGACTTGCCTTGGTGCGAGGTCCCACGGTGGGGGAGACTTCCATGGGAGCCAGCGGGTACCCCACACCCTCACATAGGCACCTCACAGTGCAGTAGGTGCCTGCTGGGGCACAGCCTGGGCCTGGTAGTTATGAAGGGTGTGAGTGGGTGAGGCCTGGCCTTCCACCTCCTCACTGCCCGACTCTGCCACACCAGCCACACGGCCTGGGCTGGGCCAGGGCAAGAAGAAGGACCATGGCTTCAAGGTGAGTGCCGATGGCCGGCTGATCATCCGGGAGGAGGAGGACTTGGCCCCCGCCAAGATGGAGGAAGAGGACGGCGCTAAAGGTAGGACCACCCACCCGTCTCAGGACACAGCTGCTGCTGGCCTGGGCTGGGGCTGTGCTCACTGTTTGCTCCTTCGTTCATTCAGTTACCACTTCTTGGGGGAGCATGGGTAAAACCAGATACAAGGAGCTGGTGTCTGAGACAACTTTCTCAAACTTTTTGGCCACATTAGGAAATTTCTTTATGTTGTAACCCAGCCATTCATACAATATACATGTAATTCAGATGGTTGGAACTTTCAAAATGCAGTACTTCCTCCTACCATATGTGGTATACTCTGTTGGTCTCTCTTCTATTCCACTGGGTTTCTTTTCTTCTCGTCCTTCACCTTTTCATTTATTTACTTTTTTAAACATAAATTTGGTTGAGGCCCTGAAGCTCATTTACAGTTGGAAAGAGCCAGGTGCTCCTAACTTCCTGATTCCAGGAACACTCACGCATAACGACTCTTGAGGCCTATGTAGTCTTCCCTGCTCCCTCTCTCCATGCATCATCTGGTAGGTCACAAAAGCCTGTGTCTTCTAAGATTTACCTGCCTTCCTCTTCTTTGTGGTTCCCACCGCCTTGAGTCACTACAGCATCCTGACTGGTGTCCTCTGCACCTAGCTTACCTGCTGTGTGACTGTGGACATTTATTTGACTTCTCTGTGCCTTAGTTCCCTCACTCTGAAATGGGTATAATGCCAATACCCTCTTGAGAGGGTTGTTGTGAAGACAAAATGGGTAACCCGGGCAGCAGCATATGTGTGTGCTTGGTGTAAAAGTGACTGTGCTGCTTTGTCATCGGGTCACATCATACTTTATATCCCCACACAGGACCCAGCACATACAGGACAGGAAAAAAAGGTGGGGTATTCTCAAGTAGGAGAATGAAGCAGTACTCCCTGCAGAGCAGAATGTCTGGGGGCTGGGGTATCACTGACTTACCAGAAAGCCTCGGTGTTCTTAGAGTCTCACAAAGACCTGTATTTACCTCAGAGGAGGAGCCGTCACTTCCTGCAGGGACTGTTGTCCCTGGGGCCTAGGATGGGAAAGGAGAAAGGAGCAGCGTTCAGGGCTCTCACTTCCCTCGGAAGATGCAGGTGTTCTGGGACTGGCATTGCCAGCTCCCTTAGCCTGATGAACCAGGAAGAGGCAAGGTGTAATTTGTATGTGCTTCGGGAAAATGGGCACTCTGAGTGCTCACAGGCCTCTCTTCCTTCCTCCCTTCCTCCCTCCCTTCCTCCCTCCCTTCCTCCCTCCCTCCCTCCCTCCTTCCATTTATGTATATATTTATTAGATATAGATATAGATACAGATATTTTGGTATCATTAATCTACAATTACATGAGCAACATTGTGTTTACTAGACTCCCCCTCTGATCAAGTCCCCCCCACATACCCCATTACAGTCACTCTCCATCAGTGTAGTAAGATGCTGTAGAATCACTACTTGTCTTCTCTGTGTTGCACAGCCCTCCCCTGCCCCCCACCTCCCCACATTATACATGCTAATCTTAATAGGCCTCTCTTCCTTTTGGCTCCAGGGGAGGATGAAGAGATGGCAGACCTCATGGAAAGCATGGATGTCAGGAGTGTAAGTAATTCCTGCTGAATGAGGGCCTGGCCCCTCACACCTAAGCCTTGGGCTGACAGCCCATCACACCGTCTTCCTCCCCTCCCCTGCAGAGCGGGGAGCTCTGCAGCACCCAGTGCTTCCTTCAGAGGTGGCTGGGTGTCCAGCTGAAAGCATTGTCTGCACTGAGGGCACGTGCTGTGCAGGCTGAAGGGCCACAGCTGGCCTGTGTGCTCCCTGGGACAGGCTCCTGCATGGGATTGGGGCACCCACTGTGGTGGAGTGCAGAGGGACCCCACGTGTTACCTCACCTGCTCCCCCCAGGACATGGGGACCCTATCATCCCCATTTCCAGACAGGACTTGCAGGAAGTAAGTAGTGTGCCCAAGGTCACAGGGGTTCTTAGCTGCAAACTGGGGACTTGAACCCTGGCCTTCCCGTCTTCCTGAGCCCCTTGCTACCTCCCCGGATGGAGCACAGCCTCCCAGCTCCCCAGCCTGCACCCGTCCATCACCTGCCTTTCCCAAGCCCAGTGAACAGCATTGCTGGGGCATCTTAGAGCAGTTTTCTCTCTCCATTTTCTCAGACTGGCCGGCGCATCCGGCCTTCCTGGGTACCCCTGGTATTAATGCTGATACATTATTAGTACAGATGCAGGCTCTGGAGTCCCATCCTGGCTTCTCCCTGACCTCTCTCAAGGCCTCAGTTCCTCATCTGTAAATCTGGTAGAATTACTGGGACAGCTTGATGAGTTTGGACATAGAAAGTACATGAGTCCATGTCTGATAAACTTCCTCCCAAATCACAATTTTCATTAATACCATATTCATGAATTCCCATATGCCTCACCAAATGCCCATCTGCCCACCAGGGCCCGAGGAACTTCTTTATCAGAGCATTACACCCAAGCGGGATTCTGTTTGGAGAACTGGGTAATAACCAGACATAAAGGATCAGAGTTAGGGAGTCAGAGAGTGGGTTTGGGTCTTGGAGACCCTGATGTAGGGTGCCCACTGTGTCCTCCCTTCCTCCCTCCCTTCCTCCCTCCCTCCCTCCCTCCTTCCATTTATGTATATATTTATTAGATATAGATATAGATACAGATATTTTGGTATCATTAATCTACAATTACATGAGCAACATTGTGTTTACTAGACTCCCCCTCTGATCAAGTCCCCCCCACATACCCCATTACAGTCACTCTCCATCAGTGTAGTAAGATGCTGTAGAATCACTACTTGTCTTCTCTGTGTTGCACAGCCCTCCCCTGCCCCCCACCTCCCCACATTATACATGCTAATCTTAATAGGCCTCTCTTCCTTTTGGCTCCAGGGGAGGATGAAGAGATGGCAGACCTCATGGAAAGCATGGATGTCAGGAGTGTAAGTAATTCCTGCTGAATGAGGGCCTGGCCCCTCACACCTAAGCCTTGGGCTGACAGCCCATCACACCGTCTTCCTCCCCTCCCCTGCAGAGCGGGGAGCTCTGCAGCACCCAGTGCTTCCTTCAGAGGTGGCTGGGTGTCCAGCTGAAAGCATTGTCTGCACTGAGGGCACGTGCTGTGCAGGCTGAAGGGCCACAGCTGGCCTGTGTGCTCCCTGGGACAGGCTCCTGCATGGGATTGGGGCACCCACTGTGGTGGAGTGCAGAGGGACCCCACGTGTTACCTCACCTGCTCCCCCCAGGACATGGGGACCCTATCATCCCCATTTCCAGACAGGACTTGCAGGAAGTAAGTAGTGTGCCCAAGGTCACAGGGGTTCTTAGCTGCAAACTGGGGACTTGAACCCTGGCCTTCCCGTCTTCCTGAGCCCCTTGCTACCTCCCCGGATGGAGCACAGCCTCCCAGCTCCCCAGCCTGCACCCGTCCATCACCTGCCTTTCCCAAGCCCAGTGAACAGCATTGCTGGGGCATCTTAGAGCAGTTTTCTCTCTCCATTTTCTCAGACTGGCCGGCGCATCCGGCCTTCCTGGGTACCCCTGGTATTAATGCTGATACATTATTAGTACAGATGCAGGCTCTGGAGTCCCATCCTGGCTTCTCCCTGACCTCTCTCAAGGCCTCAGTTCCTCATCTGTAAATCTGGTAGAATTACTGGGACAGCTTGATGAGTTTGGACATAGAAAGTACATGAGTCCATGTCTGATAAACTTCCTCCCAAATCACAATTTTCATTAATACCATATTCATGAATTCCCATATGCCTCACCAAATGCCCATCTGCCCACCAGGGCCCGAGGAACTTCTTTATCAGAGCATTACACCCAAGCGGGATTCTGTTTGGAGAACTGGGTAATAACCAGACATAAAGGATCAGAGTTAGGGAGTCAGAGAGTGGGTTTGGGTCTTGGAGACCCTGATGTAGGGTGCCCACTGTGTGATGCTGTTGAATAGCAGTGTTGCCTAGCTAAGCTGAGGTCAGGGCTCCAGATAGGCAGGTGTAGCTCTTGGGTAGGGGTTCACTGGACTGGCCGAGCAGCCAAGCAGCCAAGCAGCCAAGATGAGCTCTGCAGTCAGCACCTGGGCTGGGGCCTCACTTCTGTGCTCCCTAGCCATGTGATTGGACGCTTACTTACTCTCTCATCTGTAAGCGGGGGATGATCTAGTGCTTGGCAGAGGGCCTTTACTGCTAACTCAGGCTACAACTGCTTGTGCTATTATTATTAATGAGGATGATCATGTCCCCTTGTTCACAACCTTTGCTTGCTGCTTCATAGAAAAAACATCAGAAGCTCAAGCATCAGAAAGAGGCTGATGATGAGGAGCTGGAGATGCTCCCTCAGTACCAAGGTGAGGCCCCCACTTTCCTCTGTTGGGACACTGTCCCCTATCACCTGCATTAGACAGGGGACAGGGGACTTGAAGGCAGAGCCACAAGGTTGCATGGCCTGGTTGTACTCAGTTGCTACCAACAAAGATTGGCTGATGTGTCACCCAAGACTGGGCTGGGGGCCAAGAAGGGCTTGGATGAGAGACTGCCTGGGGGCTAGGAGAATTGGCCCTGAGTCCTATATTTTTCCCCAACCACACATGCCTCTGGGAGGTTTGCAACCCACCACTTCTCCTGGGAGGTGTTTACCTCCCTCGTCCAGCGCTGAGCAGACCAGTTTAGGGAGCCCACTTTGGCCTGTCTTGGAGGTGGCCGTTGGGAGTAGTAGTATCGGGCCTGCCCCTCTGGGCTCCCAGACTGTTGCTCTCCCCAGAGCAGCTGCTAGGGGCACCAAGGCTAGAGGCACCTGTGTTGCCTCACCCTACCTCCTTCCCCCGAGGGCAGTCCCTGCACCCAAACCTTTGGAGCAGAGCTCCTGCTGTACCTCTGGAGGGCCAGAGGCTCCTGTAGAAAGGAGTGCCCTGGTTTGTCTGACTCATGTCCCTGTGTTCTCACTCTAGCTGGAGGCTCTGGCATCCATCGCCCTGTGGCCAAGAAGGCTACGCCTGGGGCCGAATACAAGGCCAAGGTGAGAGCCGTGGGTTGGGGCGAGGAGGAGTGGCCCAGACAGACTCACTGGGGAAGGATGAGGGCAGCTGTGCCCATCACCCTTCTGTAGAGGCACTTCTGTGCAGCCAGATGGAGGCTGCAGTCTTGGTAGCATTTACACTCAGGGCCATTTCTGGGTGGCATTCCAGGCCTACAGGAACTCCTTGGTGCCACCTAAGGCAGAGAATGAAGGGAAAGGAGGACACAGACCTGCCAGGGCAGGGGAAGGAGGAAGGGGGAAGGGGAACCCCACACTCTAGCTGACTGTTTTTCTGTTTCACTCACTGCGCAGAAAGCAAAGGGTGACATGAAGAGGAAAGGTCGGCTTGAACCCTATGCCTATATCCCCCTCAACAGAACAAAGTTCAACTGCAGGTATGGTGTGCGGGGTTGGCTGGGATGGTGGCATTAGGGCCAGAGCTCCAGGCTCCATAGAAAGGAAGGCCTCATTCTCAGTAAACTCTCAACTCAATTGCTCAAGTCTCGTCTAGTTTTTTATTTTTGGTTTTTCACATACATCTTCATGTAGTTGGTACCCACATGTACTGTTGACCTGAGCTGAGCTGCCCTTTTAAACACTGTAGTACATGGCCTGCCCTGTCATGTGCTGCCCGCTTCCTGGCAGCACCCTTTCTCCCCTATTCCTGCTGGTGCTGGGGGGGGCCATCTTTTAACGTGGGAAGCAAGACCTCCTGTTCTCAGCGAGATGTGACCCTTCCCTTCCTTGTCCCTGCAGGAAGAAGGTGAAGCTCCAAGGACAGTTCAAAGGCTTGGTGAAGGCTTCCCAGCGGGGGTCCCAGGTGGGCCATAAACCCCGCAGAAAGGATCAGCGGCCCTGAAGCCCGAAGGTCCCTGGGGCTCCTCTGAGGTCTAGCCTAAGTCCTCTTCTCAGCCCCCAAGATGTCTTGACACCAACTCCAGAGGCTCGAGGCTCTGGCAGAGCTTGGCCTTGGAATGACTGTTGGAACCAAGGCTTAGCTTCCAGAGAGGCACCCAGGACTTTGAGAGCTCCAAACAGAAACCACACTTTAGAGATGGCCCTGGGGCTGGGAGATGGGAATGTGGCCTTAGTGTCTTTGAATAGGCCAGGAAGGTGGCTGTGCTTCCTGCTCAGAGTGGACGGTCTTGTTTCCTCCAGCTGCCTGTAGCCACATGGCACTCAGCCTGGCTCTGTGGTCTAGACATGTGAGATTTGCTATGACCAGATGTAGAATAAACATGCACCACCATGAATTACCTGTAGAGACAGTGTTTCACCACTTGCCCCCTCCAGGGACAGGAACAGTGTCCAGTGGTTGGCAACAGTGGCTTGACCCCTTCCTGACCAAGTCCTGGCATCGAGTCTAGGGCATAGCATGAAAGCCCCAGGTTAGGCTGTGGAATTTGCCCACGTTCACCCACTGGTTCAGGAGGTCTCCTTGATTTGACTTTACAGTCCTAGTCAGAAAGTGAAACTTAGGGGTCAGGAGAGGCAGTGAATGCTCCAGGGCTGGTCTGTGGAGCTGTCATTGAGCACCAGGGACTCAGAATAGAAAGAGGAGACAACAGCTGAGAGCTGTTTACAGCTGCAGCTCTGTGCCAGGCTGCCCCTGGGCACAGGTTTCCCCCAGCACCTTTGTTCATTAATTCAACAGAGTTTACTGAGCCCCTCCTTGTGCCAAGTTCAGCCTGATCACCCACCTCCCTGATCATCACGTTTTCTTTTTCCCAGACAAGTGGATCAAGTTGTGCAAAGAGCAACATGATTCCCACTAGCCAGCTTTGTTGGTCTAGAGCAGAGAAGGGAGAGGTGCTGACCTCCCATTGCTCATAAGGTCACTTTCCCATCAGTCCAGGGTACACCTGTGTGTGTTTTTTCAGCAAGAAACAAGACCCCAGGGTTTTCCCTCCACACCCAAATATGAGGAATGGTCCCTTGACATTCAGTGAAGGTTTTCCCATCTCAGATTCTCTGCCCATTTGAGATGAAAACATGAGACACATACATACACATAATTCTAGTTTAATGCCCTTGGTTCAGATAATACTCCCAGGAGGCTCTGTGCATTCCTCCTCCAAGGGAGCTCAAGTCTTGACTTAATTCCTTTGCCCTCCCAAATGAGGGCATTTCCTCCCACTGATTTTGGATTAGGAAACTGAGAAGAACCACACTTCGCCCAGAGGTGGCGCCCTTTACATACCTTGTTCACAGTTGAATTGGTGAGCAACCAGGAAAGGTGGTCAAAAAGAGGTGGCTGTTAGTAGCCAAGGTGGTCTAACCATGACCCCTGTGGTTACACTTTAGCCACAAGGTAAGTCTAATTAAGCCTATCCCAGCCCTTTCCTATTTCCTTTCTCAGAAAGTTAACCACATGCAGTAGGAAACTTCATGTAAATAGGTAGGAGTATGAGCCAATTGCCCAGTATTGGTGTCTTTTAAGAGAGTTTGAAGCCAACTTGCTTATTAGAGCCTGTTTTCCAAGGAGTTTTGTTTTCTTTCAAAGGCGGGGAGGGGCAGATGATCTAGAAGGTTGG